CAAATCTTGAATCCCCAATTATCGGCCCGTCCCAAATCCGTCACTCTAACCCAGGTTACCCAGTCACCCAGCGCTAACCAGCCACACTCCGGCTTGGCCCTCCCTAGTCCTTAGGGGCAGTTGATCAAATGTCCCTTAAAAGCCACACACACCTCCTCCCGGCTTCCCCCTTCGGTCCTCCCGGTGGCGCCCATGCCTTATCCCCATGCAGGGGGATAACCAGGAGCCAACACGTCTGGGAAAACTGTCAGCGACAGACCTCCCCAGAGTGTTTACTATGATTGGGTCCATCTTGACTCGTCGTAACATATTTCAATATTATTTCACCCACTTAATTGCTCAGGATGGCTCGGCTGGCATGTAAATCAGTGGGTTCCACTCTGGTGGCTTTGATTCGTTGCTGTCAGATAGAGCCTTGTCTCTTTGCCGATTGACGGGGGATACTAACTAATGTACATACTACCACTGGTACATACTTACATTCAGAGTAGTAGTACATGGCGACGGTGTACAGTGCATACCTCTCCATCGTGTATTTGGAAGTGCTTTGTGGCCGCATATCCCGCGACACCGCTCCATTGTCGAATGCCGACCGAACCGTAGCCGAGCCCGAATGCTTCAATACCTTGTACAGTACTATTTACGGCATTACCCTTCGAAACTATGACTCTCTTCACTCCAAATAACTATCTTATCCCCACGCCCGCGCGCGTACGGAAACTACAAACTAGACTTAAATAGTGGACCATCTAAATATATCCTCATCCTCGCCTACCAAACTAAGCTCTATACATGAAAGTTCGAACATCGGGTTTCACCACACCACCCACACAAAAAGAGGCGTCCCTACTCTCAGAGTGTCAGCCAGCCCTCCTCATTAGCAACCCGGCAGCTGGCCGCTGCAGCGAATGATCGTCAGCTTAGGCCACCCCGCAACCCAAGCTCAGGTTAAGGTCTTAACTTGTCAGTATCCATTCCGGATGGGTAAGTAACCCCACCAAACATATCGGCATAGGGCTGGTTCAACCGTTCGATAACGGAGTCCGGGTTGGAGTAGACTTAAACTGTCACTTCGCGAAGCTAAAAAGGGCTAGCGAGGCTAATTACTGGTGAGGATACCGTTCTGAAACCTCCGCCGGGTTGTTTGGAGAGGAATCTATAAATAAATCCGTCCGCCGAAGGTTAATGTTTCAGGTCGTCCGTAGTTGAGTGTGGACAAATTTAAGACAGGGTCTTATGAGGATAGTGTTGACGGAATTAATTTGTTCGATGTGTTTCTAGCGGGTGCTTTGCTATTTCTGTGAATGATCTTCATACCAGGAGGTTGGGAGTATTCCGCTAACCAGAGTCCCAGCATTGTAACCCCGGGATTGAGTTGATCGCAGTTGCATAGACTTTGATTCACTATATCTTAATCCTACATTTCCTTCGGAGTCTTCACGCCCAATGAGCTAGCAATCTTATCAATTACAGTAGACTCTAATCGGCCCGAGGCAACTAGTCTCCCCGCTTGACAAGGATCGTGCTCCGAGCTGACGATTGTATACACATTGTCGATATCAAGACGCAACATTTATCTTGTATGGTTCTTCGTACATTTTCCCCTCCAATTTTTCTCTAGCCCTAGCTAGATCTATGCTACTGCCCTGGCTATCGTTACCAAAACAATATCTTCCGCGCACTGTAGCCGTCAGTCCTCTATTCTCGCAGTCAACCTCCAACCTAACCCTTCTTTGAGCTTATCCAGGTAAACAATCCCCCCAGATCCCTTGCGTAGTAATTGTTCTGGATAAAATGACAGCTTTACTAGAATATACTAAGTTGATGGGCGATATAGGTACCCAAAACTCTGCAGGGAATATATAAATATATATTGAGTGACGCCAATCAGGAAACCTACCCTAGCAGCTCAACAACTCAATTGATTGAAATAACCAATAAGTGACCGTTGATAATCATTGCGTATGACCCAATTACTCCCACCACAGAAATTAAATAGCGACCTAGATACTCTCCCCATCAATTCAATCTATCGGTATGCTAAGCGACACGAAGACCCCCGGAATGCTAGACGCTGACATGCTTTGCAGCCAGGTATCATACAGTAGAGTTATTCATGTCCGATCCATACGGAGAACGGACACTGAGGTTTATTCGAAGGACATAGGGGAACCGGCATCTTGGGCACTGCCGTGAGATGCAGCTGTCCTGCTTCATGGGGTGTCAATCTGGGATACCGGAGAAGTCTAGGTTCAGACGGGCAATTGTGTATTCGTGGCATAGAGAGGGAAAGCGGGTTAAATAAAGTTTAAAAAGAAACGGCTAGTGATTAGGTTAGTAGCTTGTATATCTTTGTGTAATGGATGATAAGACAGGGTTATGCCTCAGACGAGGGAGTAAGTGATGACAGACGTTGACACAAGATCAGTTTCTTTAGATAGATGCTCTTCTATGCCGTTTAGTCCAACAGCGAAGAGTAATTATATACTATGATTCCCGGTGAAATGTATGCCCGGGCTCTGTGAGTGTCAATCTGCGCTGGGGAGGGACGGCGGCCCCAATACCCTCGACACGTCAACGAGTCCAATGACTGGTATCTTGAATTAGGCCCGATCGTAATTAATAAGGAAGCTAAATACACCGATTCCATGAATCAGAACCAAGGGGGCCCCGTTGTAACACCATGCAGGCGAGGCAGTGGTAGAGACGAGCTGAGGGAGGAGCGATGGGGAGGAAGTTGATCAGGTACTCGATGGGATGCGGAGGCTGAGTCACGATTTGGACGAGAGAGAACGCCAGCAAAACTTGTTAGCTAGACATAGACTAAGCTTGGAGGCCTCATATTGCTTTTTGCGAAGGAACGGGAGGGGTTTGAAAGGATAGTATGTGGTTCGTGAAGAGTGGAGAGGAAGACACCTGAACTGGATGCGGCTGTAGGTTGGGGTCAACGTCAGCAAGGCCTCGTATCTGTAAACAGCTCTTTAAAGCGAGAGCGGGGAAATTCCGTGCTATAGTCTTTGCTATATATTTAGTGTTCTTGTATTCGAATCTTCAATGTTCGGGGGTTCCTCTCGAAAGGTGGGTTGCTTGTTGGATTGTGGATGAGTAGAAATTGATAGAAGATGTTGAGAAGCTGTTGATATTGACGATGTACGGGAGGATGTACTCCGGATATTATTAGGCACATACAATCTGACCAGCTGCATAAAATTTACGAGACGAGCAATGTCTCATATGGTAGGACTAGGGCCGTCCATCAGCTTCTCATGCAGGACTGTGGGCTCCGATCTCAATCGCTAGTTTGACAAGATCCAGGTACGGTGGGTAATGTAGGGCTACCAACCCGACACAAATCAACGTTGGAACTTTCGAGAGATATGGCCGTGCTATGTTCCGTACCCTATAAGGTATTTTCTTCAATAAAATCAGGTTTCCCACTAACCAACTCATCCCCTTGCCAGGCCATAGGCAGACCATAGTCAGGCTAGTAATAGCTCCGCTCGCTGCAGGGTCCATATAGCAAAACGAGCTATCATGACCAAATTATCAAGATATCCGGATCATCACGCCTATCACGACCCAGCATAGAGCTACCATTGGCCTGTCGCATATCGAGCTAGCGTAACCAGCCACAGGCAAGATACACTACACGACCACGCTCCCCACAGAAGCCCTGAGACAGAGCCAGTGACCAGGCGAGGAAAACGCCGTATCGACGTTGTGGCGGGTTCAGTTTTTCTTTTCCCTACTTCTGTTGAGCTCAGGCAGGTCTCACTGCAGCCGATCGTGGGCGCCGAAGCCGGATCGGCGCGCAGGAAGGTATTCTTGGTTTTCTTCATGAGTTGGTTTCCCCGTCTTGGGATATTTTGAATAGGCATTGATTCCGGAGAGAGCTTGTCAGTGTGGGAACGGATCAGCTATTGAGTGAGACAATCTGCTGGAGCGAGCATGGTAGCTGATGGGATGGGCCAATTGGACTGAAACAGGTGCAGCGGAGACCCCGAATAGACTAGTTTTCTGTTTCCCATCAGACCTTGTGCTACCGTATTCATGGAGAGGTATGGAAAGATATGAAGAAGAAAAGAATGGATAGTGGGGAGTTGTGGACGTGAGGGGGGGGTTGTGAGGTGTATAGTTCTCGTTCTGAATAAGTGGGCTGCCTTGGGCTTGCTATTTCTGGCAGACGCAGATTGTACCACAATTAAATAACAATGTTATACTGTAATTATTATGGAAGAGAATGACAATCTTCATACAATCTTGTATATCCAGAATCAAATTGATATCATATTGGAACTATTGCCCATCTCCCTACAGTTGGTTCTATATTTACTTTTCCTTGTAAACCAAATCTCCACCGGGCCAGACCCAACAAGGCGCAGCAACAAAACAAGGCCCCGACTTTTTTTCTCTTCTCCCCCTACACCACATTCCAACAGCTTCTTCTTTTCTTCCTCAGAGTGAATATTCTCCCGCCTGACCTTCTTGCAGGCCCGCTCGTTGCTGGAGCCACTCACAATCTACGAGTACGCAGTAGTCACCTAGTGGCTGCCGACCTTACGTACGCTGGGTACTTCGCGTTCGCAATCATCCGAACTCCCCTCCTCTAGGCCCCATCCAACCATCTCCCCGGTTCCTACACCCGGTCTTCTCCTCCCAGGAACCTGCTTACACCCAGTCCTGCTTTGTACGGAAACCATTCAAGCCTTTCTACCGCTTTCATCCACTCGCAAACCCACACCTCGACCGCCCATAGCCTCCTCGTGTACACAACCACCTCCCTCCTCCTCCTCCCCCGACCGTCGCTCCCTCATTTCTTACCAGGCTGTGATAGCTGTCCCACCCCCCCACGCAACCGTCTCCATCCTGAAGGACGCGCACAGGTGGATCGCGAAGAACCCCTGGCACTCTCCCCAGTGTCAACACAACGTGGATTCGATCATCCGTACCGGGGGTTGACCTCCCCCAGGAGGTCATCCCGGATGCCCGAGACAGACAAAATGTGTCACGACTCGACGCGCATCGAGCTAGAGGCGGAGGAAGCAGGCCTGTCCCGTCCGCATGCGACCAAGTGCGCGCGACGCGGCGGCCTGTCCATGTCCCAGGGCCGTAGATGGCGAGATACTTCTAAGCGCCGGCGGGTACGAATCTCCCGTCCATGGAGCTCCTCCAGCGCCTGGTGGATGGCCCTGGTGTGCTTGGTACTGTCATGGCCCTCGCCGGCCGCAGCTGCATTGTTGACTTTTGATAACTGCTTGAGCGAAACGATTCTGGACTCCAACCCGCCTCAGTTGCAATACATCCCGCTCAACGTGTCCGTGCATTTCAATTTCACCGACCCCTTACACCCGTTGAACATCACGGTCTACGGCAATGTGTCAGGCACGGCCGACGGCTCAACGGCTCCTTCGTGGACGGATTCGTCCTGGAGTAATTCAAGCTCGACCGTGGGGAAGATTGTCGATCTGAGCACCTCGAATAACAGGTACAGCACGCTGCTTCCCACCTTTGACGTACTGAGCTTCACGGCTTGGAATAATGCGTCGCGGTTCTGCGAATCGGTTACGCAGGGCGAGTGTCCGCTGGGTCCAGTCTTCACCTACAATCTGTAAGTTTGTATTCACTTATTTGAGGGATTCAATCAAGTTGCAGTCCTATCTGTCCAGAACTAACGTTTATCGCCCTCGATTAGGAGTGATTTGAGCACCCTGCGGGCTTTCTCCGTTGAACATGACATGCTCTCCACGTACCGTTTCTCTACGATCAACCCAACGTTCATTATTCGATCCGGCGACGCGTCGGCGGCAGAGCTGGGTTGTATCACGGTTTCGATCACGCCCGACTTTGGCACCTCCCTTAAGAATGCCCTCGCCTATGTGCCCCTGGTGATCTTGCTGTTGGTGGGCATTGCCACCGTGGCAGCGGCGATGTATAGCCCATGGGGGACAACGGATATCTTCCGATGGACAAGCAATTACGGCCGCGATGAGGATGTGCTCCGACTGGTGACGCCTGGCTTTGCGGATTGTCTGCAGTACCTGCAATACGTCGTCCTGACCGGTTCTCTGTCGCTAGACTACCCCGGATTCTTCCAGCCTGCTGTCAGCTACGGGTCCTGGTCGGTCCTGATGTTTAATCAGAGCTTCGTCCATCCCGATGGCGGCAACACTCCCGTTGTGGACGGAGTATATGCAATCGATGGGACGTATGGCCTAGACCGAATGAACCAACTTGTCGGTATGGCATCTACCAAAGATATCTGGCCCGGCATGATGGTCTGGGCGGTGGTCATTTTGGTGGCCATGACTGTCATCTGCCAGATCGGGTTCGGACTGCGTTGGCTCCATCGCGAACTCGCACACAGTACAGAGCAGGACCTGCGTGCTAAGAACATGCCATTCACCGTTGGCAACATCATCCGTATCGTCTTCAACTACCTTCTCCTTCCTATAATCTCCCTCTCCTTCTTCCAACTCGTCATTGCCAGAGGCTCTCCTGCGTATAGCGTTGCGCTCGCAGCCGTGGTCATCATCATCGTCATCTGCTTCTCCATTTGGCTGGTTCGCGTTATCGTGTCCACCAGACCGAAATCTCACCTCTTCGACGATCTCCCTACCGTACTATTGTATGGACCACTTTATAACACCTACTGCGACGATGCCGCTGCCTTTGCCATGATCCCCATCTTTCTCAACTTTGCTCGCGGCGTTGGAATTGGAGCGCTGCAGCCATCCGGCATTGCCCAGGTTGTCCTGCTTGCCATTTGCGAGGTCGTTTCCGTGCTGACCCTGATCGCCTTCCGACCTTTCCCTTCCCCGACTCATATGAACTTTTACCATGGTATCTTCTCTTGTGTCCGATTCCTGACTATCATTATGAGCGTGGTCTTCGTTCCCTCTCTCACTGTGTCTTCCGCTGCGCGGGGTTGGATTGGCTACGTTATTCTCGTTCTTCACGCATTGGTTCTCATTTTTGGTTTCTTCCTTAATGCATTGCAAACGTTGATCGAAGTTTTGGCACGACTCGCTGGTGCTGGTGGCGCCACCCGTGGTGGTTTGGTCAAGGTCTTTGGTATGCGGCAACTGTCACGGCGTGTGCCGCGCCAGGATCTCGCTCGGCAGAGTTTGGGCTCTGAGGCAGCGATGCTGGCGCATGCTGATGACAGGATGTCCTCTCAGTTTGGAGACTCACGGCCACGCAGCTTGTCCGGGAGCTCCGCTCTCCTACTAAACCGTGCGACAGCTAGCGAGGGACGTGCCAGCGCCGTCCTTGATTACGCTAGTTCTCAGGGCGGTGGCTCGCACAGCCGTGCCCCGAGTGGTAATTTGTATGCGCATTCTCCTACTGCGTATACCGGGGCCGGTGGGTATTCTAGTGGATCACCGAATAGTAGCACGTTCATTGCAGCGCATCCACGTGATCCGTACTATCGACCGCCTCGCCCAGGAAGGAGAACGCCCCAGGGCTCCTTTGATCGGAGCAAGAGGAGCTCGAGATCATTCTTGAAAAGTCGTGGGCGCGATGAAGAGGAAATTGGCGAGGGACCCCCTATGTCTGGTCGTGGCACGCCCGTGCCTGCATACCTGCCCGCACCTAAGGATGATATGGAGATGGAGGACACTGAGCAAAGAAAGGACTATGCAGTTCGTGAAGTCGATTTCTACTACCGTGTGCGTGGACCTCCACTCTCGCATACCGGTACTCGAAAATTGAAGACTGGACCGGCCGATCCCACGGGACCCGTTTCATCTGCTACTGGCTGGTTCCGTAACTTGTTCCAGGGCAAGACCAAGGACAAGGGTAAAGGGTTTGAGGTTGTTCGAAGTGCTCGGGCACCACCTCCAGGCCTTTTCCCGGTCAGCGATTATAATGAGCCCTACCACGATGATCCGCAGGCGGAAGATGCTGCGGCCGGTGGCCACTCTCGGAATGTCTCTGCGAGTGAAGCTCCCTATCGTGACTCTGAGGGTGAGCAGGGTGGTGACCATAGTAGTGAGCATGGTGAGCAAGAACCCAAGGAGTCTGGTGAAGCCTCGGGGCCTCCGGTTCTACCAAAGCTGGATACAATTGGCGGCATCGAGATGCCAAGTCGTGTCGGGTCTCGTCGTACACAGGCAGCATCTGAACACGGCGCAGAGGAGGTCTTTTCGGGCCTACCCGCTGTAACCGAGGCATCCTCTCCGCAATCAAAAATTACGCAGTCTCAGTCAGATCACCACCTCCAACCCCAGTCATCTCCCGCCACCGCACGCCTCCCATTCAGCGGCAGCAGCTCAACATCCCGTGAGCGAGGACTGTCCGTCGCATCAACTTCCGGCTCCCTGACTTCTAGCCACAAGACCGGCCGCGAGGGTAGTCGATCAGAGCGACCCTCGAGCATGGGCTATGTCGCGCAGCACCGCACTCGCGATAACATCCACGAAGCTAGTCCCGACGAGCCCTCCTTCGCGGGGAGCGCAGCAGAACTCGTTGTCGAACACATTTCCAACGAGCACTAAAACCTCCCACCCAACCCCATCCTCTTTTCCTCCCAAAAATAATATTTTTAGTGTGTATACATGCAAAACACCATCTACTTTATGAACTTGATTCCGCCCTTGCTCCCCTCAAACCTCGGCCGTTTTCCACATAGCTACACCTCATCACCCCGACAATTGTATTCCACCAGGCGGATTGACCTACCTTCATTAATGCCCCAGACACGAATTTCCTTCTCTTTCCATTCTGAGTCTGTTGTTTGCTTAATTCAATTTTGCCTCTCTTCTCCTTGCTTGCTTCCTTCCTTCCTTTCTTGACACTGTCGAAGACTGAACCGAACCAAAGTCTTGATTTAACATTTCGATTTTTGCTCCCCAAAATTGCTGTTAGGAGTTTCGTTCGACGGTCTTTCTGGTTCAATCTTTGCATTTGCTTCTTCTACTGCGTACAGATTTCCCATCTAGCCTTTTGATTTATCTTGCTCTTGCACCTATCAGTCCTGTTTCTGATTCTGGATTGGCCTTGGCTGTAATGTGTTTCTCTTGCCATACTTGTTTTGGGAGGTCGGCTTTTCGAGTGCAGATTAATGGACACCAGATGTGTATAGCTGTGGTGGCGGCTGTTAGGATTGCTCTACAATGGTGCTCTATCTGCGTAGTCTTTAGTAGTCCAAATGTAATTAGGAGGCATCCTTACTCAAATGACAGATTCCATGCTCAAGCAGGGCCAGAATACTGCAAGTTATGCTCGCAAATTCCCGATTTGCTCCCCACTCTCATTTTTCCAATGTCGGTATAGTTCTGGCTGTTCGACAAGTACAATTGCGAAGTATAAATACATGACTGATCAGGGATTTCGGTCAATTAGCATAAAAGAACCTTTCAAGTATGTCAGCCATAAATTAACAGATCCAAATGAATGCGCAACTCCCCATAAAAACTCTCCCTAATTGGACTCGGATTCATCAACGAATGACGAATACAACTCGGACTGCCGGGCGGTGGCAACCTTCGGCATAGTTCTGCCGGGCATTCACCGCCTTTGAAGCCCGCCCGGCGCCCCACTGATAAGGACGATCACTCCCGCACCCTTAAACATCATCTCTCGTCATCAACACAGACCCCTTTTCCGTGTCGTAGATCACGCGATATTCTTGACCGACTGTAAGGTCTTTGTGGCTTTCCTGGTTGAGAGTATCATTTTTTTTGTCGAACTTGGTTATTGTGGGAGAACTTGTGCGGGCGAAGAACACGTCACGAGACCCCGGCCTTTTTTCTTGGCTCATTGCGAAGCTCCTGGCTATCGTGGGCTTGGGAGGGACTTTCGTGTCTGTTCGCCTGTTCAAGGACTGTGAGTGCTTGCAGACTGCTGTACAGCTGGAAACTTCTGGATAGACAGGAGGTTCATTGGAAAAAAGAGTGTGACTGTGTCCGGTAAGAGCTTCGAATGTTGCGCATGGGTTGTTATCTTTAGATAACGATCGCAAAATAGCCTGGTCGTTCGTCATTGCATCAGAACGCTGACAGGGGTCATTTCCGTCTAGCCACAAACTAAGGAACAGTTTCTTCGGCCATCTTCGAGAGTTCGGAATTTTGAACCTTCCAACATCATCGATAACCCCTTCGTTCGCCACTGATAGAGTCGCCTTTCGTCACCGCTGCCTCGGTACATCACATTGAACAAGATTGTGCGGCATATCCCATGAAGAAAAGCATGCACTCTGGCTAAGGCTGGTCCTGTTGCCCATGCTAGAGCAATACTTGCATTGCATCCGGTGATACATTCACAGAAACACCAACAACCTCCATAATGTCTGGCTCCAGTACCCCGTCTTCAGATACTTCCATGACAGGCCAGGTGCCATCAGCGGAAGAAATCATCCCCAGTGCAGGCATTGCTGATGTGTCGAGTGTCGACCAAGAAAATATGAATCCGCCAACTGGCAGGTCGGCAGGCGGACAAGATGTGCAAAGGCCGACCTCTTCAGAAGATGGTCCTGTGCTTGATTCCGGAGAAGCAAGCTCGAATAATTATATCCCTGCACAAGATCGGAAGCGCCGATTGACTAGCAATTCTGATGCTTCTAGACTTCAGCGAACTCGTTCCGGTGGATCGATTCGGCCTGAGGCTAGTATAATGCCTGCATTACCCCATCGATCTGTCTCCATGGTTGTACCGGCTTCAAGGAGTACCAGTTCCAGAGCACCGGGCTCATCCTATGCAACGGCGATAGATATCACATCGTCACCGTCTGATGATGGCCGGTATGCATCGATTGATCGTGCAGATGCTGGACATGGACCATACACGGGAAGCTCGTCTTTTCGGAGATCGTCGAATCATGCTCATGCGGCAGAGGGTGAGGCTCATCCATCGAGAATCAGCTCCAGAGCACAGCCACATCCAAGATCAGGTGGGTCAAGTCATATATCGTTGTCTAGTGGCTCCTCGTCAGTGTCACGAACGTCGGAAGGGCATAGCGACAGACCTGGCTATCAGACATGGCACCCTGCATCGGAAGCAGGTGTGGAAGCGGATATTTTGACCAATTCGAAGGATAATGGCCGTCGAACTCTTCCATGGGACCCACCACCTCGGCGGTCTTCGCAAGGCTCAAGCGGCAGCGCACGGGGAAGCTTCATAGAAGAGAACCCGTACCCAGGTTCTCTTCAGCATGCAGGTGGCCGGTACTTGAGCAGAGGACCTGACGTATCTCGGTCAACAACTGTCTCAACCGAGGGTGATCGATACCGGACACATACCAGGTCCCATACCTTGAACTCATCTGGTTTCACAGAGAATGGCGAGAGAATTATTGAAAGCTTCGGCTGGAGACCAGAGCGCAGGATTGTTGATAGAAACTCTTCAGAGAGACGGGTGTTTTCTGCGAGCTCCAGCGAAGCTTCTCGATCCAGGGCTGATAATGTCGATGGACGATACGGGAGGTATCCAGAGTATCAAGATATCGATATGCCGAGATGGCAGCCTGATGCAGAAGTCAGTAGTTGCCCAATCTGTGGCACTATTTTCAGTTTTTGGTATAGAAAGCACCACTGTCGGAAGTGTGGCAGAGTTGTATGTGCGAGCTGCTCGCCTCACTCGATAGTCATTCCTAGACAGTTCATCGTCCGTCCGCCCGACACGCCCACTTCGCAACCCGAATCATCCCCTACCTCTCAAACTCCCGTCGTTGACTTGACCGGCGACGATCCTGATCATTTCAACACCTCTATCAACCCTGCTCTCGGGGGTGGTGAAAAAGTCCGCCTCTGCAACCCATGCGTCCCCGACCCGAATCCCAATCCCCTGGGATACGGTTCTCCACGAGCTCACGGTCACCGATCCACCCACTCCCTCTCCACCTCCTCCATGGGACAGAACAGTTCCGGAGTTGCGGTTAGTCTTCATCCCACTCCTGTATCAGGTACTACGTGATGAATCTGTCAGACTAATTTGGCATCTTGATGAATATAGCGAGAGAACGCCCCCTCTCGCCAGGAGCGACGAACCATCGGGGCCAACGACCGGCCCGCGGTTCTTCAAGGACTCGGCCGTCCGGCTCGCAGATCTGTCTCTGGTGCCATGGCCAGCTTCAGTCCCAGTACAGGGGACCGAAGCCGTATGGTCGGCAACACCTCTGCCGCAGACCTGTCTGCCGCGGCCGCCGCACCGCCGCCACGCCCCCAAGTCTCGGAGGAAGACCTCTGCCCCGTCTGCGGACGGCAATTCCCAGCGCTCAGCAATGAGCATACCCAGGACGCCCGCGAAGCGCACGTCCGCGAGTGCATCGCCGGCTACGGCGCCTCGCCTGTCCACGCTGAACCCGACCACGTGAACGTCCGCCAACCCCCACCATCGCCACGCCCGTCGCCCGCAGCTGCACGTATGCTGCCATTTACGGCGACTGAGAAGGACTGCCTCGCAGAGGACGGCGCCGTGGCCGAATGCCAGATCTGCTTTGAAGAGTATGAGGTTGGGCAGAGCCTGGCCCGCCTTAACTGCTTCTGCAAGTTCCACAAGACTTGCATTCTGGACTGGTTTGAGCGGAAGATGACGTGCCCTACGCACCAGGGCTAATGGGTTCTGGGAAGTTGTCGGTCTCCGAAATGGAGAGTGTGTGTGGAGTGCAGGTAGCTGTCCTGCCGGAATCCTTCCTTTTCCCCTTCCCTTCCCCTTCCTTTTCCTTTTCCTTTTCCTTTTGTTTTCAATAGCGATACATGGGGGTAATCTGATTTTTTGTTTGTGTGATTAGCTTGTTCTCTGTAGATACCCCCAGAAATGAGACCCATGATCTTTGTGCTTTGACCTTGTTAAGTAGCTAGAGAACGCTGGCATGTACTCGCTGCTAGTGAAAATAGTATTCGTCGAATGTTGTGGTATAGCAATATGTCGTGGGATAGTAAAGGTAGGATTGATGCCTGTTCAAATAGCCTAGGTTCTTTATAGATTAGTTCCTTCCGTCATAAATACTATATACTGTGATTAAACTTCCGATGAATTCATTCCCTTTCGTCCGCTTCGTATAGACCTTGGTCACGTGAACACAGGTTGAGGGGGCCGTCATTCGACGCTAATCGACTTCACAAATTTGAGGACCCGACATATTCTCTCAAGGCCTCTTGAAATCCGGGGAAGGAAGGCTATATCGCTAAATCCTCCTGGCGCTTGTCTCGCTACGGCTACAGTCCCTTTTAGCCCACGACATTGTTGTGTGACTCGTGGGAGTTACGCGCCTATCTCGGCGGTCGGTGTTTGCATTCACCGTTCTCCGTCCTCCGTCCGGTTGTTCCTAGTGAGGCGTTGAGAAATCAAGCTGTGGAAAACGCGACAAACGTCTTCAAGCAGAGGATAAACGGTGCCAGTCGAAAGAAGCTTGACACACGGTATCGCCGCAGCCTTCTGGAAGCATCCATCTCCCAGAGTGGCCCGATCAATTCTTTATCTAGATCCTGCAGGCGAACATATCCGTGGGACGCCGCATCAGACGCGGTCATCCAAGATCGGTCTTTATACCTGCCGGACCCCCGACAGGAATCCAATATGGGGTCCGACTACCCGGAACCCCCTCCCATCTCCCCAGCGAGTCGCACAGCGGCTACGGTGTATCCCCAGGCGATCGGGAGCATTTCAGTCTGGGGCCACACCCGGCGGGGAGATCCAGCAATTCCGAAGAGCCGCACCTAGACATCAAACGGCCCCGCGCTTGCGAGCCATGTCGCCAACTCAAGGTCCGGTGTGACCCGGACCCAGCACATCCAGATAGCTCGTGCAAGCGATGCGCCAAAGCCGGGCGCGCGTGCGTTGTCACCGCGCCTACGCGGAAACGTCAGAAGAAGACGGATAGCCGCGTCACGGAGCTGGAGCGCAAGATCGATGCATTGACTGCGACGCTGCAGGCGTCGCATCGTGGCGCGTTTGGATTGGAACCGCCTCCCAAGCAGGAGTCTTCTTCTTCGCATTCGCCTGAAATCCCGGGGCGCCGGTGGCTGCGGGATGATCCGAATTTGGCGGGGAGTAAGCGCCATCATGATGGGCTGTTGGTATCGCAGTATCCTCGCCAGGATAGTCCGTCTGCGGAGAAGTTACCTCCACAACAGTCATCTTCTCGACAATGGCGGGTTCCTTCTGCCGATGAGACGGCGCCGTCCAAGGCGGGGAATGAATTCGTTGATATGATTGATAGAGGGGTGGTGGATGTCGAGACTGCCCAGGCGGCATTCGACCGCTATATTACAAAGATGGCACCAGAGATGCCCATGGTTGTCTTCCCGCCGGGAACGACAATGGGTTTCGTTCGTCGTGAAAGACCGGCCTTGTTTCTCGCTATCCTCGCAGTCGCTATCGGTCCGTTCAAGAAGGATATGCAACTCAAGCTTCTTGACGATGTGTATCGAATGTGTGCAGAACGCGTGGTCGTCAAAGGCGAGAAATCCATTGAACTAGTTCAAGCGTTCATAGTCCTCGCGATCTGGTACATGCCCCCAGATAATCTCGAAGAACTAAAGTTCTACCAACTCGTCCATTTCGCTGTGGTCGTTTCTATGGATCTTGGGCTCAACCGGCGGAAAGGGGGTGAGGACAGGCCGTTTAGTCGATTGCGAGAAGTGCTTCTCAAAAAGCCCCAGGGATCAACTTTTGACATTAATGGGCCCGAAGCAAAGCGTACTTGGGTTGGCTGTTATTTCATGGCAGTTCAGTAAGTCTTGCGTTTCTCATCTTAGGTGACAACACACTAAACCTTTCCAGAGTGTCTACGGCTTTGCGAAGAACGCACCTTGTCAGGTGGCAGCCATACATGGACGAGTGCCTGCACACATTGGAGAACCACCCTGATGCTCTACCCTCCGACAAGCATATTATCTGGTGGGCAAAGCTTGGGCAGATAATCGAAGAGTCTAGCACACAACTTACCACTGATGATCCTCTGTCTATAATCACTTTTGCAGACAGCAAAATCCGATATGCGGTCAAGGGATTCTCAAACCAGTTGGCCCAGTGGCGGAGGGAAGTTCCAGAGGATGCTTATAGCTGTGAGTTGGTTTCTCGTCTGTGATGTAGATCATTACTAACACGCTTGTCAGTGACCTTGGCCCATACTTATCATGTTATCAATCTCTTTGTTCATGAAAGTGCGATGAGCGTTGATTGCCGAGAAAGCTGTCTCCCTAACTCGCCTAATAACGACCTTCCAACCTCGGTGCTTGCCCCACTCATCGATGCAATCAGTACCTGCATTCATTCGATCCACCAATCTTTAGACATTATCTGCAGCATCGAGCCAGACCGTCTTATTTGCTTGCCGACAGTGGCTCTCGCTCGAACATCTTACCCGGTAGTCAGCTTGATCAAAATTTACTCGCTACTCGTGGCATCAAACACACACATTGGTCAAGTGATTGATATGAATAGCCTCAAGATTGAATACTACTTGGAAAAGGTCATCACTCACTATCGTACCGCCGCTGCCCGTGATGGAGGCAGGGCAGCATCAAAATTCGGGAATATCATCATGATGCTGCGCAATTGGTTCCTCAAGAAGAGAGAGAATGGACCAGCCCTAAGAGAGATATTTGGCACAGAGGTGCAATCAGATACACAGGGTGACAAACAAGCAGTAAGACCACCCCTCCATAACCCCGAAAGACCTCTCTACTCACACCCCTATCAAGATCCAGCAAGGAACGACACCCCTCCACCTCCTAAGCGAAGTCGCAATGGGCGACCCAGCCAGTCGCGCCCCCTCATCAGCATCCCAATCCCGCTCCGACCAAGAAAAAATCTACACACCATCAACATACAGACAAAACCCAGGCCCTCCAACCTACGGCCCAATAAACCCACCAACACCCCTTACCCGCATGCCCTCAAAATCAGACCAAACACCCTCAACAACACCCTGGGCCTCCACACCCTCCTTCTCACCATCTATCCCCGGAAATTCGGGCCCGGGGTATTACCCATCATTCACGACCCCAGACCCAACGCAAGGGTACAACGGTATTCAATCGTCCGCTGGGCCTAGTCAGCCTGGATACCCGGATATGTCGAGTATGGGCCTTTCGGGTTCTCAGCCCATGGGTATGGTGCAGGATCTGGGTATGGATGTTACGTTTGATTCGGATAATTTGTTTGCGTTGGGGACTATGATGGATGAGGGGTTGTTTACGTTTCCGTTGGCTTTTGATGGGGATTTTCAGATGTAGGGACATGTTATAAGATGTGTGATGAGTTGTTTGGGGCTTTGGGTGGTTATATACGTATGTTGATGTTTGTTTTTATACCCTGTTTTAGATGAAGTTGCTCAAAAACACTGATTCTTGCTGTTAAACTTTGTTGATTTATCGTACTTTGCCTCGATCCAGGGTGACTCAAGCTTCATGGTGTAGATCTAGTGCTGTCGATGGAATTGGATCAATCAAGATGCTGCCTCGTTCCAGAATATCGCATCTAGGCGATCCTTATGTAGTTGTACACCTCGCTATAACTCACGGCAGAAATCAGTCGGAAAAGGGTCTATCTCCAATGCAGCCAGCCCAATGGGATTCTATCCAGACATTCTAGACTTCGATAATAATAGATAGAGCATTTCATTTTCGCTCCGTGGTATCATATAAGCAATATCAAAAGGGTATAAATCTATATTCATCGTGAATTTCCCTGCCACGCATGAAGAATCCGTTGCTCAACATACGCCCACGGCCACCCATTATCTCTCTCCGTCCGACGCAACAGATCGAACAACAAGTTTTGCGCGAGGGGGTCATCTATCCACGCGCTGCAGGCGCAGAGTGCGTGGCAAGCCATGATCCGTAAGGATGGCTCGTCGTCTGCGGAGAAGGCTATGCCGAATAGGTAGTTTAGGTTTTCTGATATTTGTTCCTACGAGAATGTCAGAAATGGGATTGTTAGTTGGAGATCCCGGGGGACAATTTCTTACCTTGAGTTTGGTCCGCTGCTCGATGGAGTAATCGTATACTTCATATTCGCGGATGAGCATCAATGCCTTGGCAAGACAAACATGTTGCACGGCGGTAGCTGCCAAGCACAAAAAGAAAGATTAGCACAACCCCCCCCAAACATCCAGATAACCAGGCCCAGTTCTTACAATGCCACAAAGTCGTATACCAAACGACAGGAAAAGGCTTCCCAGCCCGAGCATCCGGCGGCGAAACATGCAACGGCGTAAACGTATCAGGCCTCCCAACCTCCCAATCCCGAATACGCTGCTTCAGCGCATTCTCCCCCGCGATCCCCAAATGGCCCCCGTAATTCCGACCCGAGACATTATAGCAGAAATCGATGGTCTCGGCAAGGATCCAGATCGCCCGGTTGACCCAGTCGCTGTCGCTAAGGACCGGCTTGGCGACCCACCACCGGCGCAGGCGGTCGTCGAAGGGTGCAAATGTGAGCCGGAGACATTTCTGGTACGTAAGAGCGAACTGGATGTCTTGGATTACGAAGACCCAGAAGGATGCTGAGGCGAGGCCGCCGGATATGGCACAGTCTACGTGGGAACTGATATAGACTGAGCCGGCGAGGAGATGGCGCTGCGGGTCGTTGGAGGGTGTGTGGGCTTGATGGACGAGTTAGCGTTTTTGTTTGCTGGAGGTATAGATTATGAAGCGGGGATGGTGTATGGAGGGTCATCACCGTACAGGAGATTTGTTCGAAGAAGCGAAGAATCACGGTCGAGCTTAGAAGAATATCGATTCCGATTTCAAACTCTGGCTTATCAAGAACCGGAAGCATAATCGAGACACATCGTTCATGATAGCTATCCGCGACATCTGGCGAGATCGTATTTGCCGTTCTGGACAGATGACAAGCCGACACAGCTAGACAGGCGTACAAAAGGAGTGGAGAATCGCTGGCTCGCCCGGCAACATCCGCACAAAAGTGTCGCTCGGGATCACCGGCATCAAGCTAAGCTGTTAGCATGGCGCACGGTTCGCGGAGAGAAATTCTACTTACCCACGGTGCGAGATGTCGTTGGAAATGTCGGAGCAGATAGGCTTCATTGACATTTGCCAGGCGGGGAGTTGAAACGGGCGTACTGGATGATCGGGGTGAATGTGCAGAGGTAGAACGAGAACCGCCTCGCGAGTCTGCAATGTAGAAAGGGATCGAGTTACTCGGCCCAGGTAGAGAAGGGTCCATGATGGATGATGGGGTTGATCGGGCTTCAGATGGTGATCTTGAGGCTGAATGGCCCGTCACTGGTACAACGTGATACTCTGCTGCTGTCTGATCGGTCTCATCTTTGAAGGAATCTATGAAGGGAAGTTAAACATTTGTCTTTCAAAGCTGGAGGAAAAGGATTGCAGACTGCTCGGAACCTACATTCGGACGAAGATTCTACCCAGATTTGGTCATTTGGAAAGGTCAAGTCACTCTCCCCATACCTCGGGGGCCCCTTTCCTCGTAGAGACGGATTTTGGCCATGACGAAAAGAAAGCTCCTCCGACTTTCCAGGCGCGGGCACACATTCGCGGCCAGATCGTTGGCAGCGCATGCATTTTGCTCCAGTTTTGTCACCTAAAGATAGTTAGTTTGGACATGCGTGGATAGTGAGATAGACCCTGTATATCGTGGCATACATTTCAAATGGCGCAGCCGACAGGTGAGGCTAAATTGGAATCATCGTCAGCATTATCCAAATGACTAGCGTTTACTCAACACTAGACAGCAGTGAGAAAACTGACCATCCCCTCATTACGCAGCACGGGGAGCGAGAACGAGGACAAACTGGGAAAGTTTCCAGAAAGAAAACATGCTCGGTATCCCAGACCCGAGGACACTAGGTAAATATAATCCAAGAACCTTTTTTTTCCCTGCACGCAACCTAAACCTATCAAAATTATCTTTCCATGGGGAGAATGATTGATGGAGACTTCTAGAGGCTAAATTCAACAATCGGCGCGGAGAGAGAGTGGGGGTTTGGTCTATTTTCCCTCTTTTCCCATTCTAGGCGTGATCCCCTCTCCTAGAAAAAAAATTTAAGAAAAAAAAAAGAAAGCTAGCTGGTTGGTTTATGGGTAGATCATAATGACATTGCGATAATTTTGGAGTACTCCGTACAGAACCAGTCATGGTGCTGGCGTGTTGGAGATTAGCTCGGAGCAGAAAAAGAGGAGCAGAGGCGGCGGACAAAGTGGGTTTCGAATGGATCTCGACTTGACAAGGTCGAGATGGAATTGGCTCGTCTTTAGTTTGCTTCATGGCCCGAGTTCCCTTAGCAGACGTGGCCCAGCTGTTTTTTTTTGCTCCATCACGCCAGGTGCAACGTTCCCCACCGAGCCGCTGTTTTGACAGTCTCCTGCTGGTTTTGGTTGGACGGCACACGTACCCCACGAGTGTTGAACAAAGTTTTTTTTTGTTCTGTTGTGTTGCCCCGATGAAAACCGATCTTTGCCCGAATGAGAAAGGATTTAAGGTGTAATGGTCTGGCCGAAACACCGCGGTTGGCTTCGGGAACCCGGGCGCTGAAGTGGTAAGAACAAGCGAGTTTGTATGGTCCTGTAGATCTTTATACAGGCGTTATGGGGAAAGTGGTGCGCTGATACAGTAATAGGGAGGAGAGGATATCCTGGTAGGGAGTCTCTCTCCGTAGGGAGTCCTGTACTTGTTGAAGACCCTCGCATTCGTATTTCTTTTTTTTTAGCCTGCCGGAAATTATGTGGACACTATTCCTTCCCGGTATCATTTGCGCGTCAGTTCAGAACTCTTCGGTAAATGAACAAGCTAGGGGCTAGTAATCCAATCACAAGGAAGAACGCCACGGCAAAGGCTCCGAAGGTGTCGTGCCGGACATATGACAGCTATAAATCCGAGTGGCACACGAGTAAGTTGTAGTCCCTGTAGTACCGCTGTCACAAGCTGTTGTTAAGTTAGTACCGAACCAAAAACCGAGAAATTGTTGGTCCAACTTGTTAACCAACCGGCCAGAATGGCAGACATTCATCATCAAGCTTTCGGACGGTGGAAACACTAGCGCCGCAGCTTCCATCCACTTTTCCTGTTTTGCATCTTCACCGAGGTGCTTTGTTGAGTTTGTCAGGACCGACCGACAGAGACCGCAGAATGGTCAGTTCTTTCCCTCGGATGTTGGTCCCCTGGAGAGGGGTCCAGTGGCGGTGTCGAAGCTCGCAATCAAACGAATAGTATGTACTCCGTAATCCGTAATACTACTTCCTAGTGTTCGGAGAGATGGAGTAATGAGTATACAAACTCAAAAACGCCCCTAGGGGAAACTTGGCCACGCACGACTCAAGCAGTGTACTATTGGATCGGCGACGCCGGGATTGTCTTCTTTGTGCCTGACAAATCCCGCAAAAGATTGTGGGGGCAAATTCCAGAACTTCCAGAAATCCAGCCAAGAAATCCGTAGTATTCTTTCGGCACCGTCTGCGATTTGCCTTTCGGGTTTCAATTTCGTTGGACCCGTGGCACTGGATTGCGTAACTACTCCGGACCCATCGAACCCTGTCGATCTGGGAGGGGGCTTTTGTTGGAGAGGTCCCCGAACACGAGAGGGGATGAAGCCGACGATCTGATTCGAGAATGGCTGGTTCCCCGTTGGGGGACAAGAATGTCGTTAATGTTAACCTCTCCGAGGCGGCTGTAGACCAACCAGAAAGGTAATTAGGTATCCGCCTGGTGCGCCAGACTGATTAGTATTACCCAAGACAGGGTGCGTTCGTCCGTGGATGCAGAGATGATGTGGGGATGAGGTAGATGCCGAGAATTCGAGCTGCCTCTTTCAGCGATATGTGCCGAAGTCCAACTCGAAGGGGTATATGTACGATTTCAGGGGATCGATTGGTAGAAGAGTTGGGGGGGGGGGGGGGGGGGGGTTGGAACAGGAAAGTTTGAGATCCATCTTTCAATCTGCATATTTTGAAGCTTGTAAATACAACTGTTCAAAGATGAACATCAATCAACAAAGACTCACTTGATATCCTATTGATATCTCCAAGTAATCAACCTCAAACTACTAATGCAGGCAAGATCAGGTGACCTTATCGCCAACAAACAGGAATTCTTTTGACTAACCACCATCACATCATCGCGTCATTGCACGCCCTCTTATCTCTACTAGCTTCAAAATCCAGATACAATGTTCTCATCTGAGATATTCCCCCTCTTCTTTCTGATCATGATCGTATAAACCTTAACCCTCCCTGCCATGTCCCTCCCACGCATCTCCTTCCTGGAAGGATGGGAGCGCACTCCAGCCGCAGCCTTCCTGCGGGGAAATGAACCCCAGTCAGACACCGAGTCCGATACTTATCAGGACCTCCCCGACGATGCTTCGATAGCATCTTCCTTCCCCTCCACGTATAGCAGACTCAATTTCAATCCCTATGCGGGGCCCGGCTGGAGCGAGAGCGCAGTGGACGATCGCGACGATCGACCCTCGCTGCTGGGATCGCTGGGTCTTTCCCCCACGACGACACGGGAGACGACTCGTGCGGAACCCGAGCGGGGACTGCATCTAGAGTCCCCGACGCCTCCTGTGGCAGTGCTTAAGGAGCCCTTCTGGTTGTCTGATACCCGGGGTGCTTTTGAAGTGAGCCCTGCACGACGAATCGGTATGCCGAGGACAGGTGTCGTGGAGGATGTTGTAATGTGTACTCGCTAACGGGGTATTAGTCCAGGTGTGTTTGGCTGTTATCTACTGCTTTCTCGCTGCGGGCGTGGTATTCGGCTTTGCGGCGTTGAAACCGGTTCTCATCAAGGAGCATGTATATCGTAATCTTTGCTCTCGGGAGGAGCTTGATAACGAGGTTGCGGTATGCAATGGGCAGGAAATCAAGTATGAAGAAACAGCGCGACCGTTGAGTCTTTCTGAATACATGCTAATGTCACTTCCAGGCTAAACTTGATGTTCACTATTGCCGCCGTGGTCACCAACGTCTCGGCTCTACCTGTAGGAACCATCCTGGATGCATACGGTCCCCGAGTCAGTGGCATCATCGGCAGTTTCTGTCTAGCCATTGGTGCCACCATCTTTGCCCTGGCCGAGCAACTACCCTTTGACGGGTACATCCCGGGATACCTACTCTTATCCCTGGGGGGACCATTCGTCTTCATCTCCTCCTTCCAGCTATCAAACACATTCCCCAAACGATCAGGACTAATCCTCTCAATGTTAACCGGCGCATTCGACGCATCAAGCGCCCTCTTCCTAATCTTCCGCCTCCTAAACGAAGCCACGGACGGCCTCGTCTCGACCCGGACATTCTTCCTAGCATATCTAATAGTCCCCGTCTTCATCCTCGCAGTCCAACTAACAATCATGCCCTCAACCTCCTACAAAACAGCCGGCGAACTAGTCCAACAAGCCTCCGCCCAAGTGGTAGATGAAATGCACGACCGCATAGACGATCGCATCCACGACCGAGACGAAGGCGAACGCCAACGAACCATCCGCCGCGAACACCGCCAAAGCATCGTCCACCAAATCCAAGACCTGCTCGACGACGGCACAGCCTCGATAGTCTCCGGAATCAACAATTCAGTCTTCAACTCGCCCCTCCGCCCAGCAAGTCCTCTACAAGAACTAAACAACCGCAGTCACTCCCCACTCCCCCAAAAACAAACCCAACCCCTCCCCAAACCCCAACAAACAAACACAAGCGGCGTCTGGGGCGTTCTCCACGGCCACAGCGCCCTCAGCCAACTCCGCACCCCCTGGTTCATCCTAATAACCGCCTTCACAATCCTAATGATGCTCCGCATAAACTACTTCGTTGCCACCCTGCGCTCCCAATACACCTCCCTCCTACACTCCGGGGCTAAAGCGGCCCAAATAAACACCCTCTTCGACATCGCCCTGCCCATCGGCGGCCTCCTCTCAATCCCCTTCATCGGCACATTCCTCGACAAACTGCGCACAGCGACCGTGCTCGCCATCCTCGTCTGCGTCGCAACCCTAATCGGGATTCTAGGCTGTATACCAGATAGCATGGGCGCGGCGTATGCGAATATCGCGCTGTTCGTGCTATACAGACCGTTCTATTATACGGCTGTGTCGGACTATGCGGCCAAGGTTTTTGGGTTCCAGACTTTTGGCAAGGTGTATGGGTTGGTTATTTGTTTGGCCGGGGTGGGCAATTTTGCGCAGGCGGGGCTTGATGCGGTGACGTTGGGGCGGTTTGGGGGGATCCGATTCCTGTTAATGCTGTTTTGACGGGGTTGGTTGGTGTTGTTGGTAGTGTGTTGGTTGGGTTTGTGAGTTGGAAGACTGTTTGTTTGAGGGAGGGGGTGGATAAGAGTGGTGCTGGTGGGGAGGATACGGCTGAGGCGAGTCGGAGTCAGAACCACGTTGGTGTTACTACGAGAGATTGGGAACGAGAGCCCCTGTTGAGTGGTGAGGGTGGTATACAGGGGCAGAGGGGGTACGGTTCGTGAGTGGGAGGTTGGGGAGTGAAGGGTTGTGTTATACAGCATTACGATGATTGTTATACAGTATGACTTGGATTGAGACAGGATATGAATTGCGTTCTCGTCGGAGTGTATATAGCGGAAATGATGATGATATATTCATGAATGCATTATCTCTAGTGTGAACCGAGTAGGCTGGCTAGAGCTTGAACTTCCACCAGGGAAGGCCGTGAACCGGCACGGGTAATCGATACCAAAGAAAATCGAGAGAGATGGTACGTATGTACTGGGTTCGAGATTTGGGAGATGACAGTTGCATCGTGGCGAGAAATAGCGTGATGAAGAAGATGTATGAGGTTGCAATCCAAAGGAGATATGAACCACAGGAGGTGATGGGTGATGGCGACGAATGCAGTGTCCATGCATTTCGAATTGCATGTCACAGGGGTTGATGAAATCAAGCCAAAGGCATGATGGTAGTCCCATAGTCCAAAGCCAGGGCAATGGGAGGTCGATCGGTCTCAGGTGAAAAACCTAGTCCTCGGACATGCAATCTCACTCAATGACATGCAAGCTCTGAGCTTCCGCAAAGAACGTTTCACCCGCCTCATCACAGGCAATATCATACCAAAGCATCACATTCATGGCACGTTTCACATCCGTCCAGGAAGTGAGCCCAGTACGACGCGTAACTTCAATCAGCGCAGACCCGAAGAACGCCCGTTCAGCAGGACTATCAAAGGCTGCAATACCGCCCAACGTCAAGACCCAGATAAGCAGAATACAATATTTCGTAGACGTGTAGATGTCTGCAGCACCCGGGCGACGCAGAACAGCCTGGAGTTGTTTGGCCAGATTGGGCAAGGGGGTATTATTTACAGGGATGGGGAAGACGACGCCGACGGCGAAGATGAGCATTGCTAGACGACAGGATTCGTAGGCGGCTTCGTCGATAGGTTGGGAGAAGGGGGTTTGGATTTCTGCCGCGGGTGGCACAGAGAGGAGGGTGTACTGTGTTAGGTTGCGTTGGTCCGAGAGTAATGAGACGTCGTGGCTGCCTTTCATGCAGGTTTTCATGATTTCGACGTATGTAGCGGCGGCGGTCATGGCTTCGATTATTTGGTAGGTGAGACCGAGTTGTTCTAGCCAACGGAAACTGTGGTCGATATGATAAGTTCCGAAGCCGAGGAGCTCTTGCACGGATAGATCACTGCGACTATCGACGATGGCGCAGAATTCCATGCCCGGGGCGATGGCGAAACAACTTGCGGTCATAATATCCGAGCTGACGGAGTCAAGAGTTAGTAACGAGACCCCGAATGAAATACAAGTATCGCGCTTTGCACCACTTACAAGCAAATCGTCGGACGCAAGCCGTGGAGCTTAATATTCTTGAGGCCACCACGCATCTTCAAAAGCTCAACTAACCCATGGATGTGGATCATATTGGGAGGTAAATGACCATACACGTCGAGCCATTGCAACCGTTGGAACGGCGGAGTAAACGGTGTCGTCCGATGTTGATCGGGGCTCTCCTCGAGGGCTTGATGATGGGCCATGCAAATGACACTGAGCAGAACGGCGTCACTGACAGCACGGGTAGGATCCTGCACAGCCTGACTGATCAACTTGATCGATTCCATCTCGCACAGTTGCAAAATGCGCTGTTGTTTGGGGCCAAAGTTCGAATCGGGGACCCAGCCCTTTAACCATTGAACTCGCTGATGGCACAATGATCCAAACATGAATGCCGTGAAGAGAGCCGGGTCCGATAGGGCAAGCGGGAACCATAACTCGCTGGCCTTTTTCTCATTGCTTGTTGATTTGGGAGTAAGGCCCGGCCATAACACCGTTATACCTGATAAATGGTCAGTCAAGGATTCATTCCCCAGCATTTTTCAACCCTCTTCATCGTTGATTTGGATGATACGTACAATATGATTCGCAAAGATTCACTACCTCCGGCGGAAAATTGGATGGAGACTGTAAAAACGGATCCAGGAATCCCGAGATTTGCGGCTCAATGCGAGTCACCTCGTTCCACGGTACGATCGTCACCGGATCCGCAAAGTTGGTCACCTCGTTCGTACCATCGGTATTAGTACTATCGTTACTATCACTCTTCTGGGACGCAAAAGAAGCTCGTGACCAGTCACGCTGTGGCGACTGCTGCGGGGGCGAAGTACCCAGACCGACGACGGCCAGCGTCCGCTGCGCATTGAGAGGAGGAGGACACGACACGAGAGCAAAAGACGAGGATCCAGCATGTTCGGCGCCGATGGAAGTTCGAGAGGAACGAGATGCGGAAATGGAAGACTGTTCACTAGCCGCGGAACGGTCTTTGGTCTGATCGGAAATCCATCGTCCAACGTGAGCGCGGACTAGTTTCTGGGCCTTGAGTCGTTCCGTCTCGGATGCCGGTCTGGCATTGACAAAGTGGATCCCGTCTCGTTTGCGGGTTGTATTGTTTTGTTTCTTTCGGGAGGCCATTGTTGTCTCCCTTCTGATCATCCCCGATCACCGGCACAGGACGTTATGAGAATTGGAGCGCAAGATAAGGCGGGTCGGCATCCTGCGATAAAGGCTAGGAGTGTGATGAACTGATGAGCGCGAGGATTTAGGGGGGCTGCGGGAAGCGGTCGCGAGGAAGTCGGAAGTTGACCGTAGCTTTTTTTTTTTCCTTTTTTTTGACACTTTGACAGTGACAGGTCAGGTCAGGCTAGAACGGGTAGGAATGATTGGCGATCGGAGGGCGGATAAGGGAGGTGGGAGGAGTAAGGAGGTACAGGGGAATGGGGAATGGGATCAGATCAAAGAGGGTTTCACCTCAGAGACGGGGTGGGTGGACCATGATGGAAGTGTCAGTTGAAGAGGGACGGAAAGTTCGGGGGGAGGAGGGGAGGGGGGGATGATTGTGGTTTTAAGAGTTGATCGAGTTAGGTAAAAAGACCAGGCTGCAGAAGAGAAGTGGGGAATGGGACAGATTGATGTGATTTGAGTGAAATCAACTGGAGTTGACGGGAATTTCTGGAGACCCCGTGACCCGGAGATCTTGAACAAAAACAAAAATCATCGACCCGACTATCGACCCGCTGCCAATCTCCAAAACTTGTCCACCTATCGAATTTCCCAAACACCTGGACAGGCCAGCGAAATGACTTGCAGCCTCTTTTCTCTCGTCCCTGGTTCGCTTCCTCCCCAGTGGGACTCCATCCCAGCATCACACATTTTAGCGCCGCACGGGAGCCACTTCGCACTGGCCCTGTACACAGTTTCTTTCCCAAGGTTTGCCTTATGATCAGTGCCAGCTCTCCTCCGTGATCATGGGAGACATTCTCCGCGGCCGGCCGAGTGGCAAGCTTCGTCCCGAGAGAGACCTTCTGGGAGACTTTGGGCTTGCAGGTGCGAGATGCTTGGGACCTGGAAATACGAAGTTCGCTAACGCGGATCTCTTACCATCCTCGCTACGATTGGGTCAAGGCGATCGCTAATCGCTACAAAGTACGGAGTACCTCCTCCTGTACTCCGTAGCTTTCTGTTCTTTTGGCCCCCCTTCACCGACCCGCCCCGACGGAACTGCATTTCCAGCTGATGAACAGGAGTTCAAGATGATCTCCGACCTGGTCTAGCCAGATGATTTGTGAGTGTAGAGGCGGTCTAAGTACTAACAACTACACTAACCCTCCAAGATCATCGCTGCCAATCTCCCAGTCGAAGCGTCAAGAGCCCAGACTTCTTGCCCAAACACGAGCCACCCCAGTTTCTTTCCCCGCGACCCAATCTTTCAGGTCCAGCCCTGTTCCATGTTCCAAGTTCTTTTTTTTTACCTTGAAACACGGGGTTACCACCGTGCACTTAGCTTGGGTCCTCGGTTACCAGGGTTCACCAGTCCCATCACTCCTATAGAAGTGATACATCACAACTATTTCAACACGAACGAAAAAAAACCTTAAAACATCAATCTACCATCCAGACCCGAAAAGACCCAAAAGGGTCCAGCTAGCCATTACAGTACTTTCCTCAACCACAAGACGATTAGCAATAGCACAAGGTTAATAAATGACACCGCCGATCTCCCAAAAACTAAAAGAGTCAAAGACAAAAGAACCCAGTCCCGACCTTCTTCCCGCTTAAACGAGCTGCACAGACTAACAACCTCCATACTGCAGTTCCTAGTCCCCCGGTCAACCAGTCAACCTATCAACCTCCAATAGCGGGAATCAATCCAATCCCCATCCTCCGACCCAGCACCCGGAACAGACCATCGCCCGTCGATCTCATGCACTGCATCGCCAAAAGTGGCCAAGTCATTTATTTATTCGAGTGGCTTGTGGCTTGATCCTGGGATTTTGATAGATCATAGTCTAGTCTACAGTAGTACTCCGTACTCGCCGTACAGTACTCCGTGCATGTCTACCGTACGCTACTAGTACTACTGTACTCCCATGTTTCTGGCGGGTTCTGGTTCTAGCAGGTTCTCGGCGAAAAGGATTCTGCTTGCATATTTAATTTTCCATCATAAGCAAAGATGTTTATGACTGAGTCATATCTCATATCACTCACTAACTAGTTAGTTAACTTAACTACATTCTACAAAGGAAATAATAATAATTTTGCCTATGCCCTACGGCAATCTTGATCAAATCCCGACTGGACTTGGCTGGGTGTCTGTGATACTGGTTACTGGGTTGACACCCTGGCAAGTTGCACCTTGTTGATCGGGTTGCACGGCAGGATCCGCGTGATGGGGGCTTTTTCTATAACTCGGAAGTCGGTATAGGGGGTGATAGTAGAGTGTAGATTGAATATGGATTGGTTATGATGTAGTTGATGGAATATAGTCGTGAATATGGATTTGCGATCGTTGCGATTGGGTTTCCCAGTTGTACTACTTACTACCTTGCTATTCATGGACTGACAGCATACCCAATTTAACAGCTCTAAACAAAAATGCGAGATAATGGATGTCACAATTTAACACTAACAGCTACCTCGATAACCTATCTAATCAATCTCCAAAAGAGTATACTTCCCACCTAACCCACTCTTCGGATCCCGGTACTCCTCCAACGCCTTCTCCACAACAGCCATATACCCCAAAACCTGCTCCTCCTGCCACCTCCTGCCCACAACCTGCACAGCAGTCGGGAGTCCCGCCATCTTCACCGAATCATAATGCTTCCACGCACCCCGCGCAATAGCATGGTCACACCCCAACCGCTTCAGAACGGTCTTATACGGGGCAACGCTCGCATCCCGAACGGCATCAACGTGCCCGACCGGCAAAACACCCGCAGAATAATCCAGCAGATTCCATAGGAAGGTATACCCGCACGACGAGACGGCGTCGTGCATGGCCTTGTGCGGGAGCGCGGGGGTCGCGTTCGCGGGGCAGAGGATGAAATCGAATTGTTGGGGCGCGGCGTCCCACCATTTATGCCATGTTGCGCGGTAGGATTCGCGCTGGGCGACGAGGGGCCAGAGGGCGGCGGAGGATTTAGGGCCGAAGTCTTTGATTAGTGTGGCCAAGACGGTGTCGCGCTTGATGTAGCGCACGTAGAGGTAGTACAGGTAGCGGAGGGGACGGGGCAGGTGGGCGACTCGGGAGAGTTGGTTGGCGCCTGGGTCGGAGGGCTCGAAGCTGCGAAGGGGGGCGTTGAAGTGGTGGCAGCCGTCGGAATTGAGGAGTTGGGAGGCGAGGTTTAGACCTGTGAACGGGTCTGCGTTGGATGGGGGTGTGATTTCGGTGATTGTGTGGCCGGCGGCGGTTAGGGCTGCGACGGTCGTGGAGAGTGCGTGTTCGATGGCCGGCGTGGGAGGGACGACGCCTGGTATTGTTAGTCTGGGGATTGTAGATCTGGGAGGGAGGTGAGGGCATACCATCAGTGCTCATTAGGCCGATGCGGAGAGACTTGCTCTTTGCTTCGTCTTCCAAATCCTTGCGCCATGAGATGGGGTGGACGGTGTAATCATACTTCCAAGGCTGCATGCCAATGATGGACTTGGTAAAGTATGTAAGATCATTGAGGGTGCGTGCCATAGGGCTGAAGACACTGGGGATACCCTCCTGACCGGGCATACTAGTGCTCACGCCCACCTTGGGCCAACGACCAGTGCTACAGCGGAGAGAGTAGATGCCACTCCACGCAGCGGGCACTCGCACGGAGCCAGCAACGTCAGAGCCGATACCGATACGGCCACCTTGGGCAAGAAGGGCTGCTTCGCCTCCGGTTGAACCACCGGGGCTGTACTCGGGGACGTGAGGGTTACGGCAGTGGCCCCAAAGTCCATTGGCAGACTCAAATGAGAGAAGAGTGATGGGGAGAGCAGTCTTTGCATATGGCACGGCTCCTATAAACATGGTTAGAATGTAGAACTCTGTTGGATAAGCACAGGCGAAACATACCTGCATCCTTCAACAACCTAGTCATCGGGCCATCTTCCTGGAATGGCTGATTGGCCAGTGCCGTGTAGCCCAGGGTAGTATCGAAGCCCTTGACTTGAACGGAATCCTTCAGAGAGACAGGTATACCCGCCAAAGGACCCTTCAAGTTAATATCTGACTCGAGCCATGACTCCGCCTCTGGCAGCAGTAGCTCGGTGATGCAGTTGGTACGTTCCTGAGCCTTGACTGCAACCTTGCCATAGGCTTGCAAGACAGTCAAGGGGGAGGTGGTTGACTCCTGGACATCACGGACCAACTCTTCAATAGGCTGGTCGATGATCTTCTTATCGGCGTCGGTGAAGTTGAGATGGTAGGGGTACGGCAACGAGGCAAAGCGAGCAGCACGCTCAGCTTGCTTTTGGTTGCTGGGAAGGTGTTAGCAGATGGTCTATAGGAGAGATAGACCAAAGTGTGGAATGGGAGCTTACCGTACTCGCCGGTATGTAAAGTAGTCGAACGGAGGGAGCATTGCGGCGTAGCTGTGGAAGAATCGGAGAGAAGAGCGGCCACCAGTGCCTTTTATCGCAAGGGAAGCTCCTGCGGGGAAGAAAGTGTGGAGAATGCGATAAGCCGAGAGGCACGTCGGTTTGAGTCGGCGGGGGAAAGTCCGCTGGGGATGGCAGTCACGTTTTACGCTGTTCGAGTACTAAAGAAGCCTGGTCCTTGCATTATTGAGCCAACCAGCTTACTAGCTTTTCCAGTCCAGACTAATAATTACTCCTGCAATCCAGTCCGATTATACTAGGATCATTCGATTCGTAGTCTAGGTCTGACCCTGTCCTGATAAGACAACCAACTATTCCAAATGCAGCAGGTCGATCCGCCAGTAGATAACCGATGGAAACCCAAGATAGAAAAGCCGTAATATTCCAAATGGTATCTTTATATTCGTTAAGCTATATAATAGAAACTATCTACTAAACCAATCACGCCCAAAAGCCGCCCTGGAGGCGCGGCGGGTATATCTCCAGTTGTTTTAGTTTTTGGCCGCAAACAAACCCCTCATAACCCCGGTGGAAGCCGAGGTTATCCCCAAAGATACAAAATACAGAACATCACAACCAGAAAGATGATTGGTCACATCAAATGTCTCCAACACTACCTCCTCACCGGTACAGTCGGTTAAGGTTCGACCTTTTGCAACCAGTTATGCTTGGCCAACCACCAGACGACAACGCCGCCGGTTACCAGGAGGACAACGGCGAAGAAAATGACGAATCCCCAGATTAGCGAGCGCTTGCGCTTGCGGCGTTCACGTTCAAGCCATGAGTCTGGTTCTCTAAACGTGACGATATATCAGCGACTATTTCCCCGGATTTGAATATGGTTTGCATACTTGACAGGTGTAGCGGATCCGAGATCGCTCTTTGCCTCCTCTTCTCGGTGGACCGCTGTGGAGAAGCGCTTCCAGAAATATGGGTCCCGTACCAGAGCCATCGTAGGGCGTGTGTGATGTTGTAGGGCGCAAGGTGTGGTTGATTTAAATTTAACCTGATGTCTAAACTGCACCAGGTGTACAATCAACTGGAAAGATCAAGATCGAGAGGCGTATCTGCAGATGTAGTTGAGATCGAGTATTGAAGTACTGGCGACAAATGGGTAGAGGGTGTGCCCCTTGAAAGGTCGACGACAAGGCTCACAACCACAACAAGAACAAGATTATGTTTTCAAATAGATCGATGAATGATGATAGCGACCGACAATTTCTTCGTGCTGAGTTTTGAGGCGACAGTTGCAAATAGTGAGAGGTTTGTATGAGGTGGTGCTGTGTAGTAGCGAGCGAACAAGTGGGATGAAAGAGACAAGATTAGATAGGGGGAGAACCAGGACACTTAACACCCCAGAGAAGAGGGGCAATCAGTCAAGATATCTCGTGTGGAATTTCCAGCCTGCATCAGTCAGGCTAGAAAAGATCATAACTCGCCGTACCTGGTTCCCGTCTCGCCAGGCTGGACTATGCGACAACGCCTCGCCAGGCACCGTCAACAGAGCGGATTAACCGATGGAAAAACTGCCATGGTAACGGCTCACCCAATTACGATAGGCGATATAGGCGTGGAGATTCCATCGTTGGGCATGGCATGTCGTCTGGGAATGTAGGGATGGAAGGTCATTGGTGATGCGGGCCATAGCCGCTGGAGTACAGCCAATCTTGGGGATGAATGGGATATCTGGAATGTTGATCGGCTCGATCTGTTTTGTGGTGTGGAATATTATTCCAAATATTGCTTGATGAAGAATTGTGAGGGATGATGGTGCGAGATAAATACGTACGCGGTTCGCATATCATCTATTGGCTGGTGGGTTAGGATAGATAGTCGAGCTCACGTCTGCTACTGGTACTTATGATTCTATCAAGGGACCTCGTTGCATACGCACGTTGGCTTTGACAAGGTGCCGACGCAGCTAGTTAGTATATACATCGGTGGTGAATATGCAGACTAGCTAAGTAGTACTCATGGCTTCCATACAGACAGCACGGCGATCTCTAGACTAGGGTTGGAGTGAGAATTTTGTTATCCATCTGCTGTTTTCAAAGTCGAATCTAGAAGATATACCTGCTTTCTTGGAAGGCGGGTACTACAGGGTATATATACCACAGCCGACAAGGGGAATAGCTAGCAGCGGAAAAATTCATTCCGAACCACCAATTCTGATACGAAATAGAGGATCTTAGATATAGATGATTAGCTGCAGGACTTTTCATGCCATTCCTCGTGGAATTCAGAACGTGATGAAACTCAGCCCTGAAGCTCATCCCAAAGCTCTTAACTCTCACGAACAAGATCCTTGGCCCTGGAATTGATCAATGGTACAATCAGGTGGAAACTTGGGGCTCCATATTAGATAAATCAAATAAGAATTTTCATCTCAACTTTGATATGGATTGATGAATTTAGCTGAATCTGACGAGAGTCTCAAGATAGCCCCGCTTAGGGGGGGCTTCGGCGAAAAACTGATTTCCCGACCGACGGATCTCTACCTAGTTTTTAAAGACAAGGTCGTCATATATAAATTGAAATCGCTTTTCTTGGGATAGAATTAAAATCTTGGTCTAGTTTGGCTTCATTTTCGTCCGATCAAAACAGAGCGTTATGCTCGATTTCCAATGTCATGGGTTGAGTCGGCTACTTGGTTGTTTTGCTTGAGAAATGGCCGCCATGCATTTTCTCAAAACCTGGCAGGATAGCCTAGGAAGGATGACTAGGCTAAACTACCAATGGTAAGACTTCGTAGATGAATACTTAGTATCCCAATCCTGTATTTCCAAATTAGTATACGATTGAAGTAGACACTTTCTTGTTGTAACTCCAAGTAACCGAAAGCGGGCATCGCCACTCGGCACAATCCAACTTTGCCGACGCAACCACCAAAGTCGCCGTCTCGTCTAACCCACGCACAATTTCACCGACAATACTCTCTAATCCGTGAATGTCGTGCATTTGACCACTAATATTGGCCAAACAAGACCAGTCTCGATCAAGATGCCGACTGACGGAGTCCTCAAACGGCAAAAGAAGAAGTCAATTGCGTAAGTGCCCGCGAGTTCCACCCACCTGTGCTAGTGGCCCCTTGCTGATGACTGCACCCCAGATGCCGGCGCTGCCATACCCATAAGATTAAATGCTCTGGCGGACAGCCTTGCAATAAGTGTCGGCAAGCCGGTTGTCCTGCCGAATGTGTCTACGTGAACCGTGATCGTCAGATCAAGGTGCATGAAAGGTATGTGGGTCCGTCTGTGTATGGATGGCAGCTGCTAAAGTCTTCTAGCTACCTGGATCAACTTGCTGCTGAGAATGAACGTCTTCGTGAACAATTGTCTCGTTCGCCGGGGTTTGGGAGCCCAGATGAGAATAGCCGTTCTGAAGGTTGGTCTTGTCGAGTCATCGTAGCCAATCTACCATACTGATATGATTGTCAGACGCCCGCAATCATGAACCAGATACACATGTCCAGAACCCCATGTTAGGTGAACGAGCATGGTTCCAGCCATACGACCCCTCAACACCGCCAGTACACATCGGCGAAGCAGCCTGCACGGCCTTTGCCACGCGCCTTCGTCAAGTGCTCTCCAAAAGCAAGAATACATCTCACATGCCGCGCACGCAGTACACGCCCGAGTCGACATTAATGAAGCTTCGCCATCCAGCAATTCAATGGCCGAGTCTTGCTCAGGCTCGTCTTCTCATTCAAATCGTGTTCAACCAAGTCAGTCGGGTATACCATCTAGTTCTGCGCAAGTCGACCATTGATGAACTCGAGGAAGCTTATCGGAAAGCTGACTTTGATAATCCCGTATTGACGTGCAAGTTCTTTGCATTGTTTGCGCTGGGAGAGGTATACTCGACTCGGTCGAATATATCGCTTGAATGTGGTGTTCCTGGGGCGGCGTATTACGTTCATGCGATGATGCTTATTCCTATTTTGCCGGAAAGGCCAAGTTTGACTCATATTGAATCACTTTTGCTGTTGGTAGGTGTCAACAAGAGAGCATGAAAGCTTGAGCATAGCTAACCATCTGGTCTAGTCCCTCTATTCATATTTCCTTAACCGCCGCCATTCTGCCTTCCTTCTCGTCGGCAGTGCTATGCGTCTCGGTCTCACTCTTGGACTGAACCACGATATCCCCGAATGCCAATGCCCCGACCCCGTAGACCGGCAACATCGAATCCGTCTGTGGTGGGCGATCTATGTCTTTGACCGGATGTACGGGTCCAAGGTGGGCTGGCCCATCCAGATCGCTGATGACGATATTCACGTCGAGATGCCTTCCACCGTTCCGGGCGATGTCCATGACGAGCAATTCTCCGATACACAATTCTTGGTTGCTTCCATTAATCTGGCGCGTATCACGGGACAAGTGATTGAAAAAGTGTACAGTCGCAAGAAACAGTCCGACTCGTTTCTGCAGCGAGAGCAGAAACTGCTTATCTCACTTAAGCAATGGTCACAGGAGTTGCCCCCGCATGTTCGATTGAACCGTGATGGGGCTGGTCCCAAGAATGTGGTGTCGCTGCATTTGCAATTCAACCAGGTAAGCCAGGTCTGGGAGAAGTGCTTGTTTTAGAATCAAACTGACCCAACCAGTGCATCATCTTGGCCACCCGACCTATTCTGTTATACACACTCATCCAATCTCGCGATGCCGGCCATGCAGACCAAAATACCACGCAGACGCATGTCCAGACGCTCAAAACGCTGAGTGACGCATGCATCCACGCTGCAAGGCACAACCACGCTCTGATCGTGGCCGAGTGGACCAACGGCTCTCTTCCGATTATGGGCTATTTCTACGCTCACTATCTCTTCTCCGCGGCACTGATCATGGTCCTATCCAGTCAGATCCAATCAGAGAATCACAGCGACTACACATTATTCGAGACTGCCGTTGAAATTCTCCGTGCCATGCGCGACCACGGTAACCTCGCCGCGACCGAGTTCTACGATAACCTCCAATGCGTCCAACAATGTCTCGACAAGAATCAGCCCTGCAACCCGAATCTAAGCGCGAAAGGGGGCTCAACCGCGCGAAACTCCTTGACGGGCGAGTCAAGTCGCGTTCCGAATCAGCACCCAACTGATGCGTTGCCCGTGCTTCCCGTCCAGGCTGCCCGACGAGCCAGTGAGGTGGGTCTTTCCGGAGGATCGGCGTTGGCTGACACGAGTGGTGATCTGGGTGGATTTGGGAATGAGATGGTGTTTTTGGATGAGAGCATGGAACAGTTTTTGGCCCAGCCAGATGTTGATTTTGGGCCGTTGGATCCGTCGGGTATGCCGATCAGCGTGGCGGATGCGGTGTACTCGTGGCCGAATTTCTCGCTGTGGACGGCATGACCTGCAGATAGTCAAGTCAGTACTGGAATAAACATCTGCATGGGGAGTAATAGTAAAGGCTCGTATGATGACAGTCCCACCTGTTTCTGGCGAGTGACTGGGCTCCGATGGGCCGATGGCTGATGGCGGAGTGATTTGCTGATGTTTTCTCGGGGATGACCGCACAAATAAGAAAGTGACTTGACTCACCCCTCGTCATCTTTCTATTCCTGCCACGGATCACTCAGAAGGTAAATTCAAAGCTCCTCCAAACTTTCATATCCAAACTCTGTCATCAACTACTTCGTCATTCCTTGGATCCTCCCCGCAGTGGGTCCATGTGTGTTGTGCCTGACCGCCCCTCGCTGCCTGGGGATGAGCCTCGAGCCTTGTGTCTCTACTCTCCTGCAGACCATCCCGATGCTCCTCCTCACACCTCATCCTCGCCTGGCTCTGACTCCGATCGTGCCAGTCCCCGCCCTGCCATGGCCTCTGCGACCAGCCACTGGGGGACCCTGATCAACCCGGATAAAAGCCCGGCTCCGCTGTTGGAGCAACTATGTCTCGGCATCGCGCAGTTGATGGTGAGACAAACACCTCGAGACGGAACTCGTCGAGGGGGGAAAGCGACCGGAATTTACAGATGCTAACTATCAGAAACAGCCCTCCTTCGACTCCAACCCAACGACCGATCTCACTCCAGACCGTCTCGCCGCGTTCTATCGCAAAGTCGGCGGTAACTACGATCCGCTCTTCCTCGAGACCAAATCTCAAGCCCTCTCGTTCATCTACCAGTCCCTCGGATGTTTCCACAGTCTTCAGCCTTCGAAAAGCCCCTACGAACCACCCGCAGTTCCCTCGCTTTGCCCAAATGGCTTCGTCCGCTGGCAGACCATTCAGTTGCTCATGGATCCGGATGAGCACTGGCGCTTTCTCAACAACGCGGTGGGAATGTGGGATATCGTAGATGCAAAGGGCGAGATCTTTCCCAAGAGCATCCCCCGCGATGCGTTTCCTTCGGAACCAGACCCGGAAATGCTACAGTGGCACGAAGGCGTCGCCAAGCGACTGGAATATGATTATGTGAAGAGGAACGTTCATCGAGCGTCGCCTCCGAATTTCAGCGCTTATCACTATCATTTGAGTGGGAAGGATCCGTTGCCTGATGAGGAGGATTACTCTTCACATCCTCCACATCGATCGGGGTCGCGAAGGCACAAGACTCATTATGATTCAGATCGGCCGAGTCGACGGAAAAGTCACCGGCGGCGTCTGAGCTCGGATGACCATCATGCGTCTAGCAGTCGCAGACCGGAATCCGGATTCTTTGTCAGGCCGGATGGCGGTCGTTCGGGGGTGTCATCTCCACGAGTACAGTCTCCAGGAGCTCCGCCTTATACGGATCGCCCTCCACGCTCTCAAGGTCGAGACCATCCAGCCTGGTATACTCACCCTCTGAGCCCGGGAATGGACGAAGCACCATCTCATTCGCATTCTCACTCTCATTCAAACTCACATTCACACTCGCATGCCCATGATGCCGAAGCATCGGACTGTTCCCCCTCGCAAGGATAGCAATGATGCCCTGCCCAAACACCGTTCCCGACACAACAACCTATCTCCACCGCCAGATTCCCGCGGTCGCCGTCATTCACATGATGCCTACACGCGCAAACCCTACCGAGATCTCTCTCCCATAGCACCCCGACGCTCCCACGGTAGTGGCAGCCACGAGCTACGTTCTTCGCGGTCCAGCAAATCGCGTCACGAAGGCCGATCACGCTCCAGACCTGCTCCACCACCAGACGTTCAGTTCCGGGACCCCGTCTTCGACGGACCCGTGCCGGCACCTGCACCAGAACCCCCGCAGTATACGACGATGCCTCCACCACGAGCCGTACCTCGTCACCGGTTTAACCTCGAGCCGGAAGATACCCGACGAGGCAGCTACAGCGGCGGGAGCACGGGTGGTAGTCGGCCTGGTAGTGGTGGAAGTAGCTCAGAACGGCCACGCTCGTTTAGCAGTGCTGGATTCCATCCTCGAAATTCTCGCTGGACGAGTCCCGTTCGCAGTTCTGCAGCTAAGCGATATGTGCCGACGACCTTGGCGGAAGATGCTACATATAATCCCTCATCGCCGCGTCGAGCGCCGATCTACGACTGATGATTTATGATATTGATGATATGTTTTTTTCTGGTATTACTTGATGAAGTTTGTGGCTTTGGCTCTATTTGCATATCCATCTCATCTCTTAGCTTATTTCAATCTTTTGTCAACGACGAATAGTTGACAGTTACGACTTACGACATATATAGGTGCTTACTGGGCGGTGATTCTAATTGATCTTTGCAGCGTGTTTTGCTTTAGTGCTCTGATTTTCTATCTCTTGTTTTCAGAATCATTCAGCTCCCCTCTACCCCATTCATTGTGGCATTCTCACATGAATATCGATATCTTATGATCTCGACATACACGAAGCTAGCAACTACAATGAACTCGCATCTCCTCAAGCATAACCAAACATCCATTCTCACTCTTCTTAACCTTCATAAAAAGTCCCATCCAAAAACTTCAAAACCTCCACCGGAAGCTCCCGATACGCCCCCAATTCCCCCCTAACAATCAAATCCTCCAAACTCCTCTTCTGCACAACCCCATCTCCATCCCAAACATCACCCCCCCAATGCCTCCACACACTCGCCCGCCCCCCATCTCCGCCGACAATACCACCCCAACGCCGGCCTCCCACTACTCACACACTCCTCAATCTGCCGATCAACCTCGGCCAAACTCTGACGGAAGATTTGCGGAGTAGTGCCGTGCTTTTTCTCTAGCGCGGTGGCTATTTCCGCGCCTGTGGTGCGGATTTCGGAAAGGGCTATGGTGCGGTTTTGCAGGGTGGGGATTGGGGTTTTTGCAAAGAGGTTTGAGTAGGCTTTTGAGACGTATGAACGGGTACTGAAGGGGTGTATTAGAGGTTAGTCTTGAACTTGAGGGAATGGAAGGGGTAGAAATGGGTGTGACGACTTACCAGACGTTTAGAATCTGGTTCTTTGCGTCTCCGGCGAATACAATGCGGTTTTTCTCCACGTCCACACCTAGCAATCTAACAATAACGTAAATAGTCAGTCCCCGTCATATACCCAGACTAGAGATTTGCAAAGATAAAAGATATCCCCAACATACCCAGTATTCAAACCGGACTCCGCAAAAACGCACGGCAAAATCACCGTCGTCGCAATACCAGCCTCCCTCGCCGCACGCTCAACATCATCTTTATCCTTGTTAACCGAAATCTTCAGACCCTGCTCGTCACAGCGAAACGCCAGGTCCGACGGGACGAATAGCCTAACGTCTGTATGCGGGATTGCTTTGATAAAAGCGTGTTGGAGGGGGATAGCTTCCCTGCCAACCAGAGATCTATATAGGGGTGTTAGTTGTTTAACCAGGATAGAGAGATATAGTTCTGAAATGGAATAGAGGGGGAGGGAGGTGGGGTGTACATCAAAATATCAACATCCTTCAGGGCTGCCCGCAGAGCATCCTGGTCTTGAATGTCTACTTCGATTTCGGAAAAGGACCCGGTTAATCCGTTGGAGTTGGAACTGGGTTTGTAGAGGAGTTTTGCTGGGGCGCCGGAGGTCAGGAGGGCTTGGGCAATGGCGGAACTGGACCAGCCGCGGTGGCCGTAGATTGCGAGGCGGTTGTAGGGCATTTTGTATGGATAGCGGTTGAATATATGTGTTGGGAGATATGAGTATGGTTAATGGATGTAACTTAGAAGATGTTTCTGTAGTATGATAATCGATAGCTTGGAATGTATAGATCTAATGTTAACTGAGCCGGTGGATATACCACTGTCTTTATAGCTAAAATACAACAATGCATATTCAAACTCGATGATGTTTACAATGATGCTCATGTTTGCAATGACCTCGTTCTCCGAGATACCTATTACTATCTCCGGGTCTAAATGGCGGATTCTCCAATAGTAAGGCGCAATACAACGCCCTCGTTGTGGAACGACGTGTTTGGTGTGTTTGAACAGTTTGGAGTGATTGGGGGCCGGTGTGATAGTGCTCGTGAGCCAATAAGATACGCAGGATTATAGGGGCGAGGCTTATCTCCGGACAAGGCTGTGGTTTTTCGTGTTTGGATGCGATTTTTGATGTTTGTCTTGATTGCTTGGTTGTTTGTTGCTGTTTTATCGCCTTGGTCACTCGGTTCCCCAGAGTATGAGATGGAATCCTTGAAATATGCGTAGGATCTTGTTACTTGCACAACGACCATGTCAGCTCGCACGATAAAATACTTATTCATTCCTATTTAGAACTGTGAGCGTCTGGATCTTGCGACCGGAGAGAAAGTCTGGCTAGATACGCTCTAACTTTAGACCCTTTTAATGGTATTTTGAATCTCCATAGATAGGTTTGGACCGTTCGCTCGGATCACCATTTCCATTATAATTATCCACTTTGGTTTGATTTAATTGCAGTCGGAGGGTAGACGCTATCGAGGAAAATACAAGAGTGGAGCCTTCTCTATCCTAATTAGGCCTAACTTTTTGAGCAAGTTCAGATTGTTGTCGTGCCATCAACAGCAACATCTTGAACATAATGTATCTGCCATCAGAAACTTATATCAACAGTGCAGCATAGAGCTCTCCGACGCGACCCCTCCCATAATGAAAGTTCCAAGCCAAATCCCACCAAGTACGGACATGAAATAACCCACATTCATCGTCATCACCCCCAGCATCCTATACCCCTATTAGTCTTTATATCCAAAACAACCACGTCAACCACCAATATAACTGCAAACACTTACAATAAATAAGCAATACCTGCAACAACCAATTCATACGTCGCCCGTCCCGCGGCAGGATTCACACGCCATCTCGACCATCTCCGACCAAGCTCTTGCATACTCAACTCCCAACCCGAAACACGCTTCGTCTTCGCCTCATCCGGAAGATTCTCATCTAGCATGCTGTGCCGCACACTATCGGTCCACACGCGCCCTTCCAAAATGGGCCGGAGGGCGAGGAGCACGCGGAGCAGAACGGCGAGGACGATGAGGAAAATGCAAGTACCGGCGTATTGGCCTTGCGAGGAAGGTGTCCAGTTCGTGGAGTAGAGAGGGGTTTTGAAAGAGGTGAAGAATACCATGGCCATGTCGGACATGTACATCATAGAGGAGGAGGAGGACATGTCCATCGAGCTGGATGTCGAGGTTGTCATGGACATGGACATGGTGGAGGTGGCCGTGGCCGTAGATGTGGTCATATCAGACATATCCATCATGGTGGTTTTTAACTGGGGATCCGCTGCTGAGGTGAAAGGAGGCGAACTCTGTGGACAATAGATGGAATCCGAACGTATAGGCTGGATCTTCCGAGTATCAAAAAGCAATAAGCAGAGTTGCTATATAAAGTCCCGAGACGCCCCTCACAGCAACCAAGAGAAGTTTTAAATAGTCGAACAAATGACCAAAATCGGAAATCTCGATGCAAGGATTGATTTAATCCAAGCTGTCTCTCAAGTCATAGCCCCAAGAAAAGACAAGACCCACGCCCAGCATCATCCGGATGGGGTTGCCCTATGTATTCAGTCAAAATAGCGGGATGCCATGCAACTCGCACCACGCGAGACCCTCAGTACGGAACAAAATCTTTCTCCGAGTGTATAGACAAATCCATCTCCATCGAAACAACCAGTCAAGCCCCAGCCTTAACAGATCCGACCGCGTGTCTCAACCAGATCAATCCCGGAATGTGCACCATCCAAACGGGCGCGATTGGCCAGCGGAAATCGGCGCGGAGCCATGCTGCGGGAAGATCCACTTGGTGCGATAGAAACGCCCGCAAATGTGCTCATATTAAGACCGAAGAAGGAAAGCTGTGAAGCGAATATGCAATGAGATTTTGACTTGGTATAGTATTTGTGTCGAGTATCGCGGTCAAAGATGTGGGATGGTTTGATTGATATGATCGTGGTTGGCCCACCATTCGGATGGTAAATACGCATCGAATGGAGCGATGGAGTGCATGGCAGAGACAATTTTCCGAAAGGAGAATCGTTTGCGTGGGATATGAGAATATTTGCTGGCTTTTGAGAAGATTAGAATATCTCCGTTAGTTACTTCTACTGACCGTGCGCACAATCTCATGATCCACCATCCTGTTAGTCTTTAGTTCGAGCTCTTATGAGCACATTCCAAGCCTGCAGCGAGCGGAGATTGATGTCCTGAACCGAGTACGAGTCGCGTGGAGGATTGGCCTGGAAAGTGGAGTCGCGCGCTCAAGTGGAAAAAAGAAAGTCGGGCTTTTCCAGGCTTTGAGACCTCGATGGTATGTGTATGCCCTAAGAGACGCTGTGCATGGACGTATTAATAATGCCGACCTTCTCCAAATAGCATCGTAGTCTATCATCTATTTCTGCTTCCATACTCATCTATACGTCCTCAAACAAAACCACCCGCCCTATACATTTATTTTCGTCACAAGTCAACCTTGAACAAAATACTACTACCAGGACAGAGCGTGCAAATCATCCGCCCTGAGCGCCCCCGCAGCCATGGACATGGCCATGAGCATGCTTCCCTGGCTGGACCAGCCAGTCCTCCTACACTCCAGCCGCGACCCCGGCAATTGTACAATGACCGCTGAGCAATGTGCTTTCAAATCCTCTTACTGGCTCTTCTGGTACCAAGCAGACCATCGCTACGCGTTACCAACCGTAGCCTTCTTCCTCGTTGCAATCGGGCTATTCATAATTGGAAATGTTGCGTCAGGGATATTGCCCCAGCGTATCAAGCAGCATTCATTGCTATCGCGTATTTTTGCTGGCTTCCGATTCTTGTCATATAAGGGGTGGAGGGTACGTGGGTGGAATACCCAGTCCATTGGGATGTTCTTGTTGGGTGCGGCTGGGCTGGTTTTCTTCCTGGGTATGTCCAAGCATCGAGATGCTTGATCTAAGTGATTACATTTGAGATTTGGGATTGACAAGTACTAATCATGTGCACCTCTTAGCGATGACTCTGGGACCACGACCGTATTACTGGCCCAACACAAAGGAAATTTCCTACGGCAATTCCCCGCCTATTGCCACTCGAACGGGCTTCATGGCTCTAGCTTGCATGCCTTTTCTAATGTACGAAAGCAAAGTCTCCTGCATATATACTCAAAGCTTGTTGTTGTAAGGCCTAACCAAATTGCAGTGTCCTTGGCACCAAAGCCAATCCCATTACCGCACTCACCGGCATCTCTCACGAGAAACTCAACGTCTGGCATAATTGGGTGGCCTGGGCCATGTTTGTGCTGGCCCTCATCCATACATTCCCCTTTATCGTCTTCCATATCTGGAAAGGCGATATCGTTGAGCAATGGAGTAGTGGCGGTGTCTGGGTAACCGGTGTAGTCGCTATCATCGCCCAAGCATGGTTGACCTTTATGTCCATTCCATGGATTCGGTATGCTCATATTCAGGCTCTTGGTCCTCGCATCTAGCACTAACTCAATGTTCTCGGTTAGCAATCGGTACTACGAATTCTTCAAGGCAACGCATCTCTTCATGGCCATGGTATTCGTAATCTTCTTCTTCTTTCACTGCGACTTCCGCATGTCCTCTTGGGATTATTTCATCGCCACAGCAGTCCTATATATCCTGTGCTGGCTTTACTCACAGTGCAAGACGTACTTCGAGCACGGTCTCCGTCACAAGGCACGAGTCGTGCCCGAGTCCGAGCACATATTGCGCATCACAATTGATACTCGTATGGAATGGGGACCGGGCCAGCACGTTTTCCTGCGCTTCATCACTTGCGGCATGCACTCTCTCACTGCCCATCCATTCACCATCTGCTCGGTGCCCCAAAGAGACTGTCAAAACCAACTCGTATTCTATGTCAAGGCACGTGGCGGGCTGACAGGTCGTCTAATGGCTTTAGCCCGGAAGAACCCCGACGTGCAGATTCCTGTTCTGATCGACGGCCCGTATGGTGGTATTCCCGCTGGTCGGGTAGGTGAATTCGACAGAAATATTTTTATCGGCGGTGGTGCCGGTGCTGGAACAACACTCGCTTTAATCGAGGACTTTGTTCGGTTCACGCCTACCCAGATGGGCCGAGAAATGAAAGTGATTGTCGCAACGCGCGACCCAGGTATGCGGACTTGGTACCTACAAGCATTGGAGGATCTCGCGACACGACAGGCACAGGGAAAACCCGCCACCGGTCTATCCATCCATATTCACGAGACTTTTACAGAGAATTCCGTGCAGCAGGTTGCAGAAAATATCAAAGCGGATACCAAGACAGAGAGTATTCAGTCCAAGGAGTCCAGTCCTTCAACGGCGGAATTATTCAACATTCAATTCTTTACTGGCCGGCCTGACCTTCCGGCCGCGATCCAACAGATGACAGGCCAGGAAGGTGTCTCGGTTGGTGTGGTTGTTTGTGGGCCTTCGTCGATGATCTACGACGTTCGTGAAGCGGCGTCCATTGCCCAGAGGGAAATTTTGTCCGGGAAGCCTGGCTGTGCGAGGGAAGTATGGCTACACAGTGAGAAGTTTTCGTGAGTTTTCTCTTTATCGCAGTTATAAAAGATTGGCGAAGTTGGTTACTGATACGATATTCACAGATACTAAGCGTTCTATCGGCCTGGGAGGAAGAAAGTAAACCTGTCTATAATCGCATTACATCCTTTAGTCCCAGATACCCATTCATATTTTCAAATTATACCGCATCGTTCTCCATTCAACCCCGTCACCCACAATTTTGTACAGGAAAGCACTCAGTTTCTTCTCAACTTCCCAAGTGATTTAAATCCGAGGTTAATATTCGTACCTGATGAGTCCACTCCAAGCTTCCTCATTCGGTATGGTCCACAGGATTCGCTAGTCGTCCCCGTGGTACCCAAGCATCAGCAGGCGTGAAAATCCAGGAGACGATCGCAAAGATAGTCACAATGGCCAAAATAATCGGGGCATCTGCAGATATCGCATTAGTACTGTCAATCCATATTCTGATTGTCATCAAAAGCCAAGACCTACAGTTCAAAGTAGAAGCCTCCACTGGAAACTCATAAGGCGAAAACAACACCGCCACAACCCAGCCATTCCACAGCACCGAAACAACCTGGAAAGGCTTACTCAGTCGACCTAGTGACCACTTTGCGTCGAGAGGCTCGTTGGGCGTCAGTATGAGTCTTCCAAGACTAATAAGTCCGTACGCAGCAGCTGAGGGAACTCCTGCTGCTGAAACCAGAGAGGTAAACGCAACTGCCGATGGAAGGATGGTGCAGGTGATAATAGCAGCAACCCCCCAGACAACGAGAACGGCATTCTTGGGCTGGCCCTCAGCAGAGACTCGCGATACCCAGCTAGATGCTGGTAGGACACCATCACGGGCAACGGCAAAGACGAGTCGAGATGCGGCGGTGATTGCAATGGCAGTGTTCTACCCTATTATTAGGTAACTGCTTAAATTTGCAACGCAAGAGGAATAACTTACTAGCCAGAGTGCCACCACTGAAAGAACATTCATGACAAGATGCCCCCCGCGACCGAGGACAGCAGCATAAAGCGGGACAAATGGCTGTGGCGCATCGTAGGAGAAAAGAACATCAATCGGGGGCTGGCCGACATATCGTGTCAGCATACGAAAAGTGAAAAAGCCCAATTAAAAGACTCACCGAGGTAAACAGAAACAGAATAACAGCACTGAATCCTAAAACTCCACTGATGACGGTACTCCAGAAGATTCCCTTGGCCGCATTGACAGAAGCGTTCTTAGTTTCTTCTGCGACGTGGCCAGACGCATCGAATCCAATTAGAATACCCGCTGTAGCAAGATAAGAAAGACACCAGTTCCAGCCTGCCGGAGCACCGGTACCGTTGTACGTTGTCATAAAGGCTTCGTGTGCAGTCCTGAGGCCATACGTGTTATGCGCGCCAACTGGGAGCCAGATGACGTTTAAGAGGAAGTCGAGAAAAACAGCTCCAGTGGAGAACCAGAACACGTATTTGAAAATACGGGCTACGGGTGTGTTAGTATTTGTCAGGTTGAGAGAACCAGAGTAGAAACTCACGAGAGGCGAGATTCATCAATGCAGCCAGAGCAAGAAGTACCTCGGTGCAGATCCACTGGACTGCGCGAAACTTGATGCTCGAGGAGTCAGTTGGGAAGTCGACATTGAAAACAGCGAGTTCCTAGTTGTATGTCAGACGTGTCTATATTCAAATGTTAATTAATATTTGACTCGAACATACCGATAGCATGTAGTTCACGGCCGATTGGGTGTTGCCTACATTCAAGGACAGTTAGAGGGTTGTCAAGTTAAGGGATTCTCAAAGCACATACTGGCACAAAAGGTAGTCCAGGCCGTCGTACTCCACCAAGCAACAACAAAGCCGAAGAAGCGCCCGAACCTTTTCCCACCAGCTTCTGCGGCCCAGAGATAAATCGAGCCAGAGGTGGGAGATGCGGAACATGCTTCTGCAATAACGGCTGCGGTGATGAAAGTAAAGACACACGTCACGATGTAGCTCGTCCTGTGGATTTATCAGAACCATTCACTGCAATGTAATCGTTCTTTTATTTCAGCCTTGAAACTCCCATCTAACTTACCAGTAGGCGAGTGGTCCTCCCGCCGCGATTCCCGTCGAGAAGGTTACTCGCACACCACCAACAAAGTAGAGAGCGGCTAGGGATCATCGTTAGCTATCGAGGATAATGCAACTCCAAGAAATATGTAAAATACCAAATGAGGTGGAAAAGTTCTCGAATAAAGAATAGCTACGATGGAGTACCTAGCCGAATAGTAATGTGAGTATCGAATGCACAATTTCCTCAAGTTTAATGACACAGATCTCAGCATACTTGTTTGTATCCTAGACGCTCCTGTAAATAACAGTTATTAGAGTAAGATTCTTCACGTTTTTCTTTTCCATCTATGGAGCTTTCCTACCAGAATAGACTCATCATTCGCATTATCCTCCAAAGAGGGAGCGACCTTGGGCTCTTTGGCATCCGCCATTAGAATATTTGACTTCGTTGATAAGGAAAGTGCTTTCCGAATGGAAAAAGATTGACGTGAGACTCCGACTATTAAGTTATTTGAGTGTATCCGGACAAAGGGGCCAACCCTTACCGTCCTGCGGACACTACGAGGCCAGAGCTAAACTACGTTCGACCCTGACAAATTAGGCGCCACTATGGCGCGAGCTGTTATACTATGCCTACTTGAGACCCTTTTCCGCGCGAAAGTTTGGTTTGCTATCAGCAGTTGGCGATCGTGGTGAAAAGATTATGCCACTCTTGAACGGGGTTGCGTTATTACGCCGAGAGATTGTCTGATAGCCCGAGTCGGAACCCTTAGTCATATTGGATTTGGCAGGTTCATCCGACATCGTGTCTCGTTTAATTTGAAAATGTAAAAAAATTATCACAAAAGACACAATATCAAATACTCTCGATCTCTCCGTGCTGATGTGTTCTATGAGGACCAGGTTTTGAAGCAAAATGTCAATGCTTTTGATCTGGGGCACCGTCCTGGGTGCCAGTGCTCTTGTGATCAAGGTGAGAGGAAGGCTACTCCTAATCTTTGGGTAAATGGGAACAACAAGTTAATAATTACGTTAGATTATCTACACATACTTTTTTTCACCTCTATCGCATATTCCCAATGCTGGTCTGTTGGCTCCAATCTCACGATTTATGTGGGAGTTCCCTCTAGAATACCGGGGACAGCTCACCCTGGAGCTGCCAAAAATACACAAGAGGCTTGGTGAGCCGTAACAAAGTTAAAGTTTTGCGTTGTAATACTCTGATGCATGATTAGGCCCGTTGGTGCGTATCGGTCCAAATGAAGTGTCGTTCTACTCCCTGGATATCTACAAAAGAGTCCATGCGCCAAACAGTGCTTTTATCAAGGACCCCCGAGTGTACGGCCAATTTGTACAAGACGGACATCCCGCCCTATTTTCCATAACGTGAGCATGATAAAACAATTGACCGTGGAAAATGCACATATTGACTCTGCTATCACAGTGACTCCAAAGAGCATGCACAACGGCGCAGACATATGGGTGTGCTTTTTAATCGCAGTCGGGTGCCGGCTCTGATTCCGATGATGCTAGATCAGATCTTCAGATTTAACGATCTTCTTGCCAAATTATACCAGAAAGGACCAATTGATCTTGTACCTACCTGTCGGGCTCTCGAGGCTGATGTTGTGTGTGAGTTCTACGTGACCACTCGAGGCACCCGAATTAACTACTAAAGGAAATATTATAGCGAGATTCGCATTCGGAAGCCCTATTGGGGCAATTGATTCGTTGAATGTCGGAAAAGAGTTGAGTATCGTTAAGGAAAATGACTTGAAATCATCAAAGATGCCACTGGTAAGCACGCCGCCTCATGTCACATGGAGCGGGACAGTTAACCCTCTCTCATTTCTGAAAACTTCAGTACACAAAGTTTCCATTCGCAACCCGGATTTATGACTCCATTTCAAGTTCCATCTTTGATCTCATCGGGTGGGATATTTCCTCGGTCACAAGTTCCAGATTGTTTGACACGGTAAGGCATTTTACATCGGTGGAACTTGCTATATTCAAGAACTAACAGAATACGCAGTGGGCAAATGATCAGTTGGATACATGTTTAGACTCTGAGAAAGCTCCAGATATCTCCTTTTTGAAAGTAATGGCGGGGCCTAGACTATCACCCCAGTCTGCATTGTCTGAGGCTAAGGAGATGTTGGGCCCTGGGACAGACACCACTTCAGCCACCCTTGCTCATATTTTATGGGCCCTTTCCCTGAATAAAAACTTACAAAATCAACTTTTTCAGGAACTGGAAGCGGCCCAGTGGCCTACAGACATGTCATTACTGGAGTCACTTCCCCTCCTAGTTGCATGTGTCAAAGAGGGAATCAGATGGACTGGGGCGGCAGCCGCCATGCTACCCAGAATCGTCCCTAAAGGAGGCACTTTACTTGATGGGAAATATATCGAAGGAGGAGTGAGTCCTTATATCCAATATTCGGAACAAATGAACTGATTGGCTTCCAAAGACAATGATCGCGAGCTCTCCAATCTGGTACTTGCACGACGAGGTCGCCTTTCCAGACCCACATAAATACCGACCGGGTCGCTGGCTGTTAAATGATACAAACGAGGCAACCAAATTAAGAAACGAATATTACATCCCTTTTTCAAAGGGACCTGGCACGTGTGTTGGAGTCCAGTCAGTAGTTCTATGCCCTTCCATTGTCGACATAGCGCTTAGTCTTCGTCAGACTAGCGTGGCTAATAAGGTGCAAAATTTAGTTTCGCATACTTGGAACTCTTTCTTTCTGTTTCCCAAATCCTGAAGGAGTATCTCATCGAGGCATGCAGCGATAAGATTGTCCTCGGCAACGTTGAAGCCGTTTTACCTTTGCGACGAGAGTGGGTTGCCGCTGTGCCCACAGGACCGCTGCATGTTTCTCTTCGACCTCGTTCGGGGCTGCATAACAAAAATGCAACTTATAATAACCATTTCCCCTTTCAAGGGACCTGATTTATATCCATTTAAGGTGTTCCTGGGTGTTTGCTAGGACTTTGAAGAATGCCACATCATATCATTATCCCAACTAGGCTTGCCCTGGCAACTCGCAGCAGGACTACATATTTTCCTAGGCAATTCAGTGAGAATTAAATATAGGAGCCGCTTTCAAGCTCATGTTCAAAATTGTTGTATGGTCCCTCAATTGTGCGTTCCAGCCTAACTCTATGAGACTCGTTCTTTGTTGTGATCGTGACAGAAGGAGTTAGTGGATTTGTCTTCTCCATGCCACTTTTCTCGTTTCCTTCAATCAGTTGCCATCATGTCTTATAATTCTCTTACGCATCTCCTAAATATTATACAGCACAGTACTAAGTTCACTGGAAGGGGAATTAATTTTGACTATTCAGATCCATGAACAGTATCAACTAATAATTTCCTAAATTACTCTACCTAAAGTATTGGTTTTCTCTTGAATAGATGAAGTCCATTTTGTTAAAGTGTTCTAACAAAGGAATGCTTTTCTGAATAATTAGGCAGGACGCTGGCCAATGAAGGCAGGCGGTCTCTCTACCGGACCACGTGGTAGTATGGTTTAAATTCACATGACAAGTTTTCTTGTGAATGGGGGAAAATATGGAACCAATCATAAACACACGGTCTTACGCGGTTATTCAGCAGGAAGACATCCTTCAAGGATACGACCAGGCGCCACACGCTTAAACGGCAGCTTCATTCGTTAAGTACGTTGCTTATGTGACTCTCGGACTACCTCTGAACGTTTTAGCCTATAACATTCATGTCTATAGAGCTCGACGGCAAACTAGATGCTTTTCAAAGAAATACGATTTGCTACCTTCGGCCGGAGTAAGCTCGAACAAAGACTCCAAGCATGTTACAAAAACTTGAATTTTCCCTTAGTGTTCTAGTCATCCATATATCTCTGCTTTTTGCATTTCCATTCTATCCCTACCACAGAAAATGGCTGGAAGCATATCTGACGAAAGACACAGCAGGGTTTCAGAGCCTGTCTTTTCGGTAAGTGTCATATTTAGCTATATCTTTCGAAGCCTTTGAATGATGCTCATAGATTTGATTGTACGGTGTTCTCTGGGCTCTGACTGGAGTGTCATTTCTCTTCGTTCTTTTTCGTCTATACGTCCAATTTGCTTCATTCCGCCGTTTTTTCATAGATGATCTTCTGGTCGTACTTGCCTGGACTATTATACTCACGGCAGCTATCATTTGGCAAATTGAAGGACGGGTTCTTTACGAGCTTTATTCCATCAGCGCTGACCTGGAAGTATTCACACCGGCGTTCCTCCAAAGATACAATACCTTCATGCGCTTTCTTGCGCCCTTGGAGATATTCTTCTACTCTGGTCTTTGGTGTATCAAATTTTCATTCTTGGCATTCTTCTACCGGCTGAGCTGCAAGATCAAGCCTCTCCGCATTTGGTGGTACATGGTAATGGTCATCACCGCAGGGGTCTACATTGCATCAGTGGCAGATATCGAATATAAATGCAGTTTTGGGGGTATTGGATACATAATCGGTAAGATGCCTTTCGGTAAATTAGCTTTCCCAAAACACTAACGTGATCTATCGGCAGAACAATGCTCTCAGCTAGACCATATACACTACGAGAATCGTAGTTTTTGGGCGAACTGTGCGGGCGATGTTGTGACTGACATGATGAGTAAGTTCCAAGTTATGAACAAAACCAGCTTAGTTCAATTGGTCTCACCAGATCCTTGGCGGATCAAGTTCTCTCTATACCCGTTCTCGTGCTATGGAACACCCGTATCTCCCGCCGCAAGAAAGTTATTCTGCTCAGCATATTTTCTGCTACTATTTTGATTATGGTGATTGCCATCGTTCGGGTAGCCGTCGACAACACTCTCAACAGCGAGATAAACATCGCGTGGCTATGTTTCTGGAGCTTTGTGGAGGTAGATGCAGGCAAGTTGTGAGAATATCCCTTGAAATGGATTGCCTCGTCTCTCATACTTCCTCACAGCCATTATCATCTCATGCGTTGCCTCCATGCGACAGCTATTTATTACTGCTCAGAATCGAAGCTCGAAAGGTAAAGGAAGCTACCAAAATATGTCTGGTCCAACATCAAAGAGTCCCAAGAATGTATCATGTCAAACTCAGTCACGATGTGTGGGAGACGTTGGGCCACATATGAATGATGATGTGCCGCTGTCACCATTGAACATTGTTTATGTCCACCGTGGTTTTGAAGTGACGAGTGCTGTGATGAGCAATTCTGGCAATGATTAAGGCATTGAGCTCCATAGCAAAACTTTCGGTTAGCGGGCGAAGGGGATTCCCAAATTAACTGTGACTTTTGATGGATATTCGAGGAAGACATTCTGTTCAGTTTCCTTCTAGTACGTTATCAGTTTATCATGCTTAGGTAGCCTATCTTAGAGCTAGTTAAACTAAGGTAGGTATTATGTAACGACCACTCAGGGGGCTTATCCAGCGAGCCTTGTGACACGGTCATTCATTAGGTTGGTGACCACCTTAAAGCTGTTGGCAGGCCTGACAGCACTCCCGCATAGAAGCATATACCAAGGGGAGCTATATCGGCAAAATGAATTCACCATCATCGTAATGGGTGAATGAAAGGGCAGAGCATTTTACGCGAGGTAGATAGCATTGCGGCTCATAGTATGTACAATCAATTCCGCCTCCGTCTGACAACGTAAAACAACTGGGATAGCATGAAGCACCAACAACAAAATCACAATCACCATGAGGGGCTCAGAATGAACTTTTAGGAAACGCGAAGTCTGAAAAACAGATCATCAAAGACGATCGATCTTACCCAACATCCACTGGACATGACGATAAGACAGTCGACCTTGATCCTGGGACTGTCGATGGCCTGCCTGGAATGTCTCCGCAAACATCAAGCCCCGCTCATAATGTTGGATGCCCATAAGTCCTTGAGGGCCATCTAGATCACCGTATCCATCTTGGGCATTAAAGATTGCAGACCACTGCAAGTCGGGCATTTCAATATTGACGGGGGTCGCCGGGCGAGTCTGAAAGCCTAACTCCCCATTCCAAGTCATATTCTGAATTGCCAGAAGCGTTCCATTGGTTATAATCAGATAGTCCCAGTCTCCATTTGAAATGAGAACCCTGTTTGTTGCTTCAATAATGCGGGGAAGAACACTCTCGGTAGGATTCAGAGACGTATCGAATTGTTGCTCAGGCCCTGGATTATCACCGACAAAGACATTTTCGGAGCTGCACAAGCTCCAGTCAACACTTTCAGGTACATGAAGAGCCTTTTTGACATCGGTTCGATTGAAATATGTCGTAGGAGCCGGTTCATACGCAAGATCGGTAGGAAATCCTAAGACATCCCACAGCAGAGGACATGTTTGACTGACCCTATAGGGATTCCAACATGGGTTTGGATTAAAGGCTTCGTAGTAGATCATGTTGTAAATATCGCAATCGGAATAATTCATGTGTCTGACTGGCTGCACCTCAGAAGCTGGGAAAGTAAAGTACTTCTCGAAGTACTCTTGATAGCCACACTCTTTGTATGTAGACTCTAATTCCCCCATAAAGGAAGTATTAAAGTTGAATAGCTCTGAGTGTTGTTGAACAAAGGGATAAGCAGGGAGTTCCGCTTGTATCCAATCCCACTGACCGATGCATGCATCATACATTAAAGCCCCTGCATAAGTTGTTAGTAAGAGTCTTTCTAATTACCGGGAAATAAGGCCTGAATAATAAGGCCGTCCACTCTAACGTGGTCGGTAAGCGAGTGGGCCATGTAAGCGAGCGGGCCACCTAACCGCTTTTTCGCGTCCTACCACGTTCATCTATCTTCTATCCACCACCATGCCTCCAATTCGCGCCGGGTTAAGCCAGGATGCTATGCAACAAGAGGGCCGCATCTTATTAGCTGTACAAGCTATAAACAACAAGGAAATCGGCTCTATTCGGAAGGCTGCAGACCAGTTTCAAGTTCCCCGGAATACGCTCACGCGTCGACTACGCGGTACTACAAACCGTGCTGAATCTCGCGCAAATTCTCATAAATTAACAGAGATCGAAGAGGAACTACTTCAGCAGCGGATACTATCGCTAGATCGACGTGGAGCAGCCCCTACACAAGCTCATGTACGAGAAATGGCTAATTTGCTACTCGCGAAGCGTGGTTCTATCTCTATCCAAACCGTCGGCGAAAAATGGGCATATAACTTTATCCAACGCCATCCGGACCTTAAATCTCGCTTTTCACGACGATACGACTACCAGCGAGCACTACAAGAGGATCCAAAGATTATTCAAGAGTGGTTTAACCTCGTACAAACCACGATTCAGCAATACGGTATCCTCGCGGACGATATCTATAACTTTGACGAGACTGGGTTCGCGATGGGCCTTTGTGCGCATCAAAAAGTGATTACTCGAGCGGAATACTACGGTCGGAGATCGGTTTTACAGCCAGGGAACCGCGAGTGGGTAACCGCAATCGAGTCAATTAACGCTTCGGGGTGGGCACTTCCACCGACGCTTATTTTTAAGGGCAAGCAATATAATCAAGCCTGGTTCAAAGATCTTCCGTACGACTAGCGCTTCGAAGTTAGTACGAACGGGTGGACGTCTGACGAAATAGGCCTTCGCTGGCTTCAAAAGCAATTTATTCCGTCGACAAATAGTCGTACGCGCGGAAGATATCGACTTTTAGTCCTCGACGGACACGGAAGCCATCTAACAGCAGAATTCGACCAAATCTACGCGGATCACGATATTATACCGATCTGTATACCAGCACATTCCTCGCATCTTTTACAACCGCTTAATATCGGATGTTTCGCGGTTTTAAAGCGCGCATACGGTAGTTTAGTCGGCCAGAAAATGCGGCTCGGGATTAGCCATATCGACAAGCTTGATTTCCTCACAGCTTATCCACAAGCTCGTACCGACGCATTTAAATCAGAGACGATTCAAAATAGCTTCCGAGCAGCAGGATTAGTACCTTTTAATCCCGAACCAGTGCTATCAAAGCTCAATATTCAACTTCGGACGCCTACGCCGCCCTCAAGCCGCGGTAGTCAAGCAAGCGCTTTTTGCCCCCATACGCCCGCGAACGTGGACGAGCTTTATAAGCAAGCAGCTTCAATTAAAGCTTTCCTAAAACGACGCTCGAAAAGTCCCCCATCGCCGTCGCAGGCCGCGCTAAACCAGCTTATTAAAGGCTGTCAAATCGCGATACAAAACGGTATCTTTCTCGAGCAAGAAAATAAGCAGCTACGCGAGGAAAATACTACACAGAAGAAAAAGCGTGCTCGTACAACTAGATGGATAGCTCACGATGACGGTCTGAGTGTACGAGAAGCAATGGAGCTCGAGGAAGCTCATAATGCCTTTTTTCAGGCCATACCAGGTCCACGAGTGCCACCAGCGCAGGGTATACCGGCACCGAAGCCGAGGGCCTTACCTAAATGCGGCAATTGCAGTGAAATAGGGCATAAGAAGAATTCTTGTCCAAATAGAGAATAATGAATATAAAGGAGTTGTGGTTGATATATATCGATAAATGTGTAGAAATTCTGGTTGGGTGGCCCGCTCGCTTACATGGCCCACTCGCTTACCGACCACGTTAACTACTTACCGCTGAGATCAAAATGTTCGGTGTCATTTTTATCAAGCATGGCAGCAGATATATAGGGAACGTAGCGGCCGGCATAGCTCTCACCAGACATGAAAATTCGAAAGTTTCTTATGTTGTATAATTTTTGAAACTGTGTAAGAAAGTGGATGAAATCAACAGCAATATCCTGTTCATCTTTTGCAGTTGGAGTGCCGACTGAGAATCCCGTTCCAACTGGCTGGTCGATCCTGACCACATTGGAAATTCTCGTTAGCTCACAAAATTTTAATATGAAAACTGACGAACTTACCACAACATATTGGTCAAGTTCACCCATGAATATTGATTGATGACGGGCTTGTAAGTACCCGGTTGCCACGTGAAGCGTCCGTTCTCCTGCAAAAACCCCTGCATTGAGCTGCAGCCAGGCCCACCGCTGAGCCAGATTGTAAGGTCATCACTTGGCTCTCCGACCTTTGGCTGGAAGAGGTAAAATAAAGAAGCATTGTCGCGGACCGGTATGAATCCCGAGTACATCTCGCCTAAGTCAAAATGGACATCCGGCAGGCTCTCCACCAAGTGCGCTGTGGGTTGGTAAAGTTATTCAGTTGAGACTAGCTGATCTATGGGGAAAAATATTTTCAAGACATAGAACGTACGTTGAGTAAATTCATTTAGAAATCGGTATTCAGATCTGCTGATGTTGTGTAAAACTCGAGAAGAATCCGATTGGGATGATTGTACGACTTCAAACAGTAGCAGAGCCGCTACAAATGCTGTAGGGAGAGATCGGCCGAACATGCTCAACCTTGCTATACGCGCCTTGGAGACCAAATGCCAAAAGGAACAACCACAACGTTCTCAAATTTTAGAGGAGCGCTTCTTATACTCCAAAATTCTCGATTCCGATTTCTCGGTTCGACGGGGTTCTCCCTTCCGTAGTACACTCTGACTCCACTAATTTTGATTTTTTTTGGTAAGTAAAATATCTAATCTGATGATCAGCAATATAACTAGCCCTATGTGGGGCGATGGTGTGCTTTCTAGTCAGTACGCTCGAGGACGTGTCCTCAGCCGCAGTCCTCTCAGCTCCTACGTTCCGATGATTAACTTAAGCAAAATTCTCATCACAAGGCCGAAAATTGAGTATTATCTGTCATTTTTTAAAAAGACTTACGGTATTCTAGAATTCAATGGATAAGATAGAGTAAGATCTAAGGGAGAGAACTTTGGTATTGAGGATCGCAAGTGTTTTTTTGGTATGTATGCTTCATTTTTTCAATTTCAGATTGTTGGGGCGACTTAGCGTGGGTGAATGCTTACGCGTCCTTTCGGCAATTGTGATGATTCTTCGAACAGGGACCATTTTTTATGGGAATGTGTATTTGGTTAGTTTACGGCCAAGACGCAATAGTTCGCTAGAGCGATATGTAATTAGGTATTATTAAGTTTACCAGTATTTTGGTAAATTAATCTCTGCAAGTCTGCATAAATTAAACGGAGGTTTCCGAGCGGGCTAACCCGCTATGCCGAGATCCACTGCCGATTTACCTGACCTGTGAAAAAGGTAACTACTAACTCAGCTTAAAAATATGTAACTTAAGGGATTACTAACGAACGACCCTTAGGTAACTAACTAGTTAGTTAGTCCCATTCTCTGCCTAAGAACGCCTGGATTTTCAGGGTTTTCTGGCACCAAGGCAGTAATCTAGATCATGATAACAGAATAGCATTTTTCCACGCTCTCTCTCTCGCCACCCTTCACCAAAATCCCTTTACCACTAAGTCCTCTTCTCTTTTAACGTCTTAACCACCACCAATGGTCCTGCTAGGCATTAAAACCTACTCTTACGCAAAGATGACGAGGATGGTACTAGGTAAGCTCCTGGTAACACGTAGATAAACCCCTACCCTCTTATTTCTAAGGGATCTACTAATACTATCATTTAATATTCTCCCTTCCCCTTGGCAATTTCGATACAGATGGCGACACGGATATAGTCGAACATGATACTAAGATAGTCGAGTATAATACGATGAATTTCATGGCCACTAGGCGAAGTTTTGTTTGTGAGGAATTTCTTCTCTGTATATACTCTTCTGGTTATTACAGTAAGATAGAATATTACTGTAGTGATACAGTATAGATTAACGACGCTGCTAATCCAGTAGGGCTCCTAAGTTGTGAATCTAGCTCCCCTTAGCAGCTAATAGAAGCGAGTAGGAAAAGACCAGACGTGACTAATTTAAGCTTATCTTATAAAAATTAAGCTATTCCTATAAAATTCGTAGTATATCTATTGTATTTGGGGAACTGCTAACAGATTTGGTGCTTTACTAGATTTGGCAGTTAGCCGTTCTTTACTTTAGTCTTACTGATTTATTTAGTTTTTCCGTTTCTGCTTTTCTGTTTTATTTCTCTGCACTTTTTTGTTAGTTTGATTTATTAATTTGGATAGTTGTGGTCAAAGGCCTCATGTAGATAGGGGGATAAGGGAGAACAGACACACACGTTCTTTTCGGTTTATATACAATTTGCACTCACGTTTTGCTAGTATATTGATATACTCAATTCATTCTATCTCTTATACCTACCGGTCGCTTCCTCCTATCTGATTGGTTCAGTGTCCATTACCGTGCTCGCAGCGCTCGCCCTCGGGTGGGTCTTGTATGGCTTCTTGCCGGCCTTCTTTCCAGTCCTTCTTGATTGCCTAGCTCGTTCGTGCCTCAACCTGTCTTGCACTTTTATGTCTTTGATAAATGAGTGCCCCTTAATAATGCCTTAGCTTTAGGCGGCTAGATTAATAGAGCTCTAATTATTTCCGTTAGATTCGTCTTACTGTACCCTAAAGCAGTGAACCCGCCCGGTTTTTACACTTTTAAGCCCCTAATTATCGTGGGCCAGTGCCCGATATTAGCCACGTGTGCCACGAGACCTTGCATATTGAAATGTAAACAAGACTGATCACATAAAACGGGCCTAGGTTATGACTAGTAGGTTCTTGAGAGACCCAGAACTCTAAGACCTTAGTCGTATGACGGTCCTCTTAAGAAGGTTCTAATTTTGAGAATCCGGTCTCTTCCAGGGCTTCTACCAAGACGACCGGCTTATGTCAGTAGAGTTCTTGGGATGTGAAACTTCTTAAGAGAAGGCTCTCGGAAGAATCCAAGTAGCACCCAAGACTGTTTCTCCCACAATATTCGCCTTACCGCCAGCACTATTGATTCTTCGTTCCCGAAGCCAAGATAGGCTTAACCATCCTATATATGAATTAGTCTAATATTCATCTCAATTCACCTCTGCACAAGCACAGGCGGTATATAGGAAATAGCCCACCTCTCTAGCTGGGTTATTCAATCCCATAGAAAGTGAGTTATGTGCCATAATATTTGAGCAGCAAATTAGCGACATGATTCAGGGGCAGAATCATCACATTAATGTAAAACTTGCTTCTAACTACATTTAGCACCTTACACGAGCCCCAGGAATTTTCTGGGTGCCCGGAACGTAGTTGTAATTGTTGGGGAGGAAATTTAGAAATCTGTAGGCCTAATTGTGTCTATTGCAGCGCGTTAAGCCATTCTGCTCTAGAATTTTATTGCCGTGGCCTCGAACTCTTCTAGCGCTAGCGGAATAGTTACCCAATAAAATGGCTCTATTCAGCTAATAATGCCTGCTTTTGAAGTCTATCAAGGCATTCGTCAGGCCCCTAACGGGCTGAACGAGATGTGCGACCGTGAGCGCGTCGTAAAAGCCGCTAGAATTCGACGCCAAATTCCCGAGCTACCGCTGCCATTTTGGGCTTCCCACAATGATTGTAGGTTTTCAAAGCAGATGCGATCCTCGCTTTCGTCTGATCATTTGGGCATCTTGGTGACGGGTAATAGTGGGAAGAAATTGGAGCATAGAAGGAAACATCGCGCAGTACTTTTAACCATAACTGCAGCACGCCTTTATCAAAATCGGGGCAGGCTGCTGCTTAGTGTGAGTGATCTGGGGCTGTCATCAGAGGGACGACCGACTATCCATTATAGAGCATCAATAACATGTATAATAAGGAACTCCTCTAATACTGGAAGGCCGATGCAGGTTTCTCTTTGACATGAAGTTTAAAAGGAACCGCATTCCCCAACTTGGAGATAGTGTCATCTACCTCAACAGGCCAATCGAACTCGACTATATACATAGGGAATGTGATCGCTGCCATCGGCTTCAAAAGATGTACCACCACATCCGGGTGCGGGCGTTCCCTAGCACCATCACTGAATGCGACCCGAAGGCTCTGTAACGACTTCATCTCAGAGATGATTTTCCAGGCTGACTCCCAGAAGAAAAGTATGTCGAAAGGATAGTCGCTGTCGTCACACCTTAGGCTTCCTTCATACCACCACTGCGCTAGGAGGAAGTACATATGTAAAGAGCGAATGCTGTGTAATCGCCGGGGGAGAATAGTGCGTTGGAGATCAACGATTGTACGGGTTTGGCGGACGCTAAGGATATTTTGGGAATAAAGGATATCAATTGATTCCGAGTATCTAGTTGGAATTAGTTATTTGTCACTTCACTATGATAAAAGAGATGGGGGCGGTCGAGGCTTGCCTCCGAGGAACGTACACCTGTTGGCATGAACGTAATAATCCCATTCTTATCGGGTAAGAGGAATCGTCCTCCAGTTCATATCTTCCCACACTTGGATTCTGGGCCGTGGTGCCATCTTTCTTGAAACAATGACCCCAACAGGGGTGTGCTAAACCTGGCAGATCCGGATTCCTATTAAAGCAGCGCCGACTAAGTAGTCGTCTGTCGGCACTAGCGATATGTAGTTCTGGGTTATCTGGAGGAGCAAGGACCTCCCGATAGATGAGATACCTGATCTCCGGTGGAAGTTTGACCAAAAATGCGGATTGTCGCTGATCGCTGGTTCTGGCTCCCTTCTGGTTAAGGGGGGATGGTATCGTCAGTGCCCGTTCGCGGGTAACTGGTAAAGGGTCAGGACGGTCGCTGACACGCTTACGTCCCCGAATAGGCCTCTTGTCCTCTCCGCGCCGAGAGAAGAGACTGCTTGACCATTTCATAGTGATATCGTCGCAGTCAGTGGGTAGTTGATGGAGGGGGTAGAAAGTCAATAAATAATAATTACTAAGTTATTAATAGCACAAGAATCAGCCTCACAGTGGGTAGCCCTTAGTTTCCCGCCCCCCTCCCTACCGCCTACCTCGAACATCAAAGGGATCTCACCAGTGACACAGAGGATATATTGGGGGCAAATTTGCCGCGTAATTTCGCGCGTTATTTATACTATATCTATACTGTCACCCGTTAAGATACCTCTCGACGTAATATAAACACCTAGTATAAAATATTAAGCACCAGGACTCGTAAGACCTCATACTAAGCCTTGAATGTTGAAATAGAAAGTCATAACATAATCGCAGATACTAGTTAGTTATGGTGACCCGCTCGCTTATGAATTACGTTAAACCACTGTACATGTACATGAATGTGGGTCTCAGCATGAAAGCACTTCGCTATTGATTTGAAGCAATAAATCCTATTCTAGAGAGAAATCTACTGGAATTGTGTAAGATTACAGAGAGATTTGTGCTTCCATACTCCCTTCATACAAGGTTACCTATTGCAAAGAGAGAATTAAGAAACATACAAAGGTGGCTTCCCATGTTTGCTATCCAGCACAAAGTAGACAATCATCCTATCCTGATAGAATCAATTTACTTTCCCGTTCTCTGACACACTCTTCCCTTCCTTAATATACCTGATCGCTACCAGTCCGTTAGCATCGTCTATAAATTACATAAATGGGCCAACATACCTGACCCACAAAGCGCAATGGAATCTGCATTGACCTGTGGTTCCCGGCGCAGGTCATTGGTTCCCTCCTGAGCCAACTTCCGACACCTATTCCATCCGTATCGAATGTTTAGAAAACTAGGCCCATCAACATCGAATGACTCTCCCCCAATGCGAGTGTGCGTAAACTCGTGCAGAATCACTTTATCTAACAGCGAGATCACGTCGATGGGTGTCAGCAATGCGTGTAGCTTCGTCAACCCTTTGCTGACGGCCTGGTAAAATAATCCTTTAGTTTCTGCATCCTGCAGGCTTTTGGTTTCGACTCTCTTCATCCAATTGATGAACCATGGGCAGAGCTGAACCTGCGATGGCTTGTTGGTGTTATCAGATACCCAAGTATAGGCTACGGTAGGTTCGATGCCTTTGCAGGTCCCAAAGGCATCGTTCTTCGAGAAAGCCTCATCAATATCTGTAAATATGTTAGTTTGGGAAAGTGTGGTGGGGTATTGTTGGACTCGAAGGCCTACCAGAGTCGTACCAGTCACCATCGTCTCTTTTTTGGAAGCGGTCAAGGTTACAGTACACCACAATCTGGTCCTCTGTCAGCCAATGCACCTGGCAGCAACACTCGGAAATGGTACTTCATAGCTAGGCCAGGAGTCTTACATTTGAACCATCCTCAGCCGCATTGTCATTACGCGCCCTCGCCGTGATCAGATTCCCCAGATTCCTGCTCAGTATTCCGAGTCGTTGTCCATTCGGCTCTTGGCCATCAGGCATAAACATCCACTTGATCACATTGCGGATTTTGTCGCCATTCTGGCCTAAGTCTTGATTGTTAATCGCTTTATTTATTGCATCCAACTCATCGCTTGCCATAGTGAAGGCACTACCCACAGCCTGCGTGACCATGTTTTCTATATCTAGCAGAATAGGTCTGTTAGGTCAACGTCAAGGTTAACTAATGGGAAGGGAGTTTCTGGCTTACCCTCCGTTTGGCATGACTTATCAAGCTTCCACGATGGGTTAGCGCTAGCAAGGCTTGCTAGGCTAAAGCCAAAAACAAGGCCATTGAGAAGTTTCATCTTTTGAGTATCAGACAAGCAAGACAAATAAGAAACTGTAGTACTGGTAGAGGTGACTTGGTGAAGAGATGTAGCAGATGGATAATGGAGGGTCAGTTCATTGCACGACGCGAAAGGTAGATCTTATATCTAGACTGATTCATATCAGCATCTTTATAATCCAAGACCAAGCCATAATACCCATCAATTGAGCCGAACCTCTGAAGCGCGAAATTTACTTGAGAAGGGGTGGTGCATTAGCAGACTGATGCAATATCCAACATAGGTCCAAAATTTCCCTCGTTAGTTCTCTATACCTAGAGTCTTTCTGATCTATATCATCATCAGACCCTGTGTGGTACAGATTGGCCCGTAAGACCAGGCGGTCCTCTGTCGAATTTTACCTAGCGCTAATGCGAATAAGCAGGGGCCGATGGGAGCAGCAATTAGCGAAGAAAATTTGTTTGGACGTCGGTCAGAGTCCGATGTAAATTCGAAGCCCCCAATCTGAGAATGGAATCTCTAAGCCCCAATCATGGCTGCATCTTAACGGTTGTTGACAGCGATTGTCGCGTGGGGTCGGTGGGTGTGGGGGCAAAGGTGATGAGCGAGGGCGGGGGCCAGAGCTATGAGCCACAAGGGACCAAAAAAATACTAAATTAATGTCTAAGATCATAGTTTATATTGTGTGAACGTAGGTTTATTGACGTTCTGATTCTATTTCTCTGATATTCACCGTCTCCCCTTTGTTAGGCTAGGAATGCTCTGGGGGAATTTGCCCTCGAGTATCCAGCCACCTGAGGTCTGCCAGCCCACCAGATCCCCGTAGTGCATGCAATAATCATGATTGAACATATTCCTGTAAATTCCACTTATAAGATTAAACCAGCTAAAACAAAAGGCCGACAGCGGGGAGATACTACTACTATGGGACAACATGAGAACCCAACACAAAATATGTAGATCTAAGAGCATGGACCTTTCCGGACAAAAAACCTCAGGCCCTTCACATCCGGGAGAACACAAAAAGTCCCCAGTTCGATTTAGTTTTAGTTGGTGAAGTACGCTATGCGTTCGGCCATGGGAGAGCTCTTTAATTGTGGTTATTTCTATAGGAGCGAACCCTTCGTTTCTGTACCTCTTCTTTGGTCAGAATATTCACTGCGTCCTTAGAGAGGAGATAACCAGACGGGTTGTAATACCCACGGTGAATCCTTTTTCCATGGTCAGCTACGACTCAGGGTCAGTTCAGGCCACCAAAAATCGGGACTGGATATAAGCGTGGAGAGAGGGAGGGAAAGTTTAGCCAAGGGGCCGCGTCAGTGCTTGGGGCTTTAGGGCGTTCAGATGAAGGGGCCTGAAAGGGCTAAAGAGTAACGCAGGAACGGTAACTATGGATCAAGAAGAAGCAAAAATGCAAAAACATACAACAGCCAGGATTCGCATGTGGTCACCCACCATACTACTAACTGGCCGGCGTGTGGCTTAAGTACGGCTGAGCGGACGGGAAGCCCTGTTCTCCACACCCTATGGTCGTATGTGCCAAACACGTCGGATTCAGGGAACATAACTCCTTGGTAAACTCCCACAATTCAACTTTGCTCCACGGAGGTTAGGTTAAATCTTACTCTAGCCCAAGGAGACCTAGAGACCTGCCGAATGTTACTAGTCGAAAAGTAGTTTATAACCAACCTAAGCCCCAACTTAAGCTACTGACTTCAGACAATCTACTTTGTACACAAGAGTTGAGATGGGTCTGTTTTCTAAGACATTAGAATTTATGTCCTTGGTAAATCTTCAGGAGAAAACGGATTTCAACTTTCTTCCGAGCCGCCTCGAATATTAACAAATGGAATTTAAGAAAAAAAATACCAAGAAAAACTGGTAAATCTTTGCGATCGGCTAAGATGCATGACCAAGATGAAGTTATGCTCTCTGCCGGCTAGCAAGTCGGCTCGAAACTCCAATTCAGTCCGTCTAAGAAGAAACCTCGGTATCAGACGAAGAGTCAAAGTCAATGCTGGAGACTGTAATCATGTCAGTGTGCCAGGTGATACCGCCATCAGTGGACTTGAAGGTAGAGTCGGTAACACTATCGAGACTCATGACATTGGCAAAGTTCGTGTCAGCCTCGCTCAGAGTAACTGTAAGGTTGGTGATAGCTGGATCGAGATTAGCTATACTGACAGACTGCTGGCAGAAAAACCACTGCATGTGAAGAAAATGACGTACAGTAACCAGCGAGTGTACCGCAGCTTCCAGAGCCTGTATAGCACTCGTTGCTGGAGTAGAGGTATTGGAGGGAGGCATCGAGAGCTAAAATCTCGAGTCAGTGACGAGGCTATCCGGTGAAAAACATCAGTACTCACTGTCACTTTGCTTTGAGATAACCTTGTCTTCCATAGTGACGGTCTGGACGACCTTCCCATCCACAACAGCAACTAAGATTTTTTATTGACCAGTGTCTCCACGTTTGATAGTTAATAAGCGGCACTCACTCTCAAATTCAACAGTGGCGTTCTGAGGGACAGTCACATAATCCTGTCCAATTTGGCCATCTAGATGGTGGAAAAATTTCAGTGTCAGGTTTTCATCTCCAAACCACGCAGCAGGTAACGCTCCTTACCTGGAGTGTAAGTGCTTGCGGCGACGCACCATTCGTCCGCAGAGGCAGAGCAGCCCCTTGAGTGGAAATTTCCGTCAGCAAAAGATACCGCTACAATTTTGAAACGCTTTAAAACTCCACGTACTGGGACTCTTGATCAGGAGACCAGTTGAATAGCGGCTGATACAGGTTGGCATTGTCGTCTCCCGCGGTTGACGATGCCCCAACCCAGACAGAGACCCAGACTTCGTCATTCTTGTTGGACACAGTTGTACCCGTAGGGACTGAAGGAGGCAGAATAGAATATGTAGCCTTTGTGATACGCGCATTTCCCGAAGGAGGTCCGAGATAGAACAAACTGTTTCCGAAAACCCACGAATCGGAGGGTTGCGAAGCAGCCGCGCCAATAGCGGCAACCGCAGGAACAAGGGTATAAGCAGGGCGCATCTTAAGTTGGATAGCTTTGAGCCTGTTGTAAGGAAACTGAAGAACCAGGTGGAAGTAGAGAAATAAGAGGTCTTTTTCTGTCTCGGGCGCGAGATGGAGTATAAATAAAAGAAGGGATAAAACAACGATGTTCAAACTCCCGCCAATATATGGGAAGATAAGGGGTATGAAGGAAATCCAATATAGTTCAGCCTTATTAGCTTAAATCAAGCGTGGGTCCAAGAGGTTTCATGCTTATGGTGCTTGGTTTCCTAATACTGTTTTGGGATGAGACTGAAACACCGAGGTTTCGAATCTGTCTTGAAGACTGGCGGGAATAAGCTCCTCCGTGAGAGCCACTAATGTTGGCGGAAATTCAATCTGCTTGGTGTATTTTCTCTCATACGTTGAAACCTCGTCCCCTCTTTCTAAAATATTATCGTATGTTAGAAATAGTCCAAAACTCACTCACTCAGGGAGATATCATCTTGCCCCTTGACAACCGCAATTCATTCTTCACCGGACCCACTCATTCAAGACAAGCATCCTTCCACTTATCATCTTCGGGTTAGCTCCTCCGGATTTGATCCGTATGTGTCTAGTGCGACCGGAGAAGTCTTTCAATTTGCGGCGACATAATTCAAGGAAACGAATATGTACTCCTTCAGATTTCAATCCACGCGGCTTCCTAACTACGGCGCTGCAAATTGCCGCTTTGTGTAGGGATATAAATTGGACAGAGTATATCGTTCGATTGCTAGAAGTAAACTCAGACATTCATATGATGAGACAAGTCGGAGAAATGTTTAAACCCCCCTTGGGGTTTCATCGGCAGCATTGATGATCGCCCAGTTTGAATGGTTGGAAAGGTAATTGACCAAACAGCATATAACAGCGACTACTGCGTTGAAGGCGATCTTGCACCCGTGGATTTGTCGTGAACGGTTTAGCGTCCTATTCAGACGACACCACGCACACATACACACATAGAGAGAGGGAGAGGGAGAGACTTGTGCAGTCTTGACATAGGTGAAGAGAAGGTGAGCATTTTCACGGGAGCCCCGGGATCTTTACCGCAAATGCAATAAAATTCAGGCGCACGCTCCTGTTGTTGGCTGAGTGGCGGGATTGTCATCATAGGAAGAAGTCCAAGCCTTCTCGAATTCGACAAAATGCAGGTCATCAGGCAGATCCAAATCTTTGAACTCCTCCAGAGGGAACGGTGTGGTCACTCCTGTCTTTTGAAAGCCGCGTCGCATGTACCACGATATCAGATTCTCTCGGTTCGAAAGAGCATTAAGTCCCAGGACTTTCGAACCCCACTCCCGTCGGCAGTAGTCTTCGGCGTAGGTAAGGATCTGTTTTCCAATACCACTCCGATGACATTGAGGGTCTACAGCGAACATAAAAAGCCGAGCGCCGTTAGGGCTACTCTTAGAAGCCCCGATGGTTCCTAGCAGTGTGTCATTCGCATCGCCAGCCATCAGGAACAGGCTTTCGGGGTTGTCGATAATGCTCTTAATGTTCTTTGCTTCGATGGAAAACTGCGCCGCGAGCTGTGAATTCCCGACCCATCCCTCTCTGCTGTCCTCAGCACGAAAGGCTGATTCTATCAGCTGCTTCAGGACCGAGATGTCATCCTGAGTCGCAGCGCGGAAACGAAGATTTGTGTTCGCCATTTTTCCTTTGCGTGAAGCTTGCAATGTGTAGGGTACTGGTTTTTTGTGGCTCTAATGTTGAATTCTCGCCGTCCTTTTTGGCGTTATATTTTGTTCGGCACGCCCTATCATTGACATGCCCTAGTCCTATTTGGGCTGAAGCCTTAGCCATCATCGATCATAGATTATATGTTAGGTTTTGTCTTATTGAAACACTCTAGACTCGTCTGTAGAGTAAATGCTAACATATTAGTATGCCTTGTCTTGGATCCAAATTCAGGGACCTATCTAGTCGCGACTCGGGCAGTGTCGAATCCACATCATCCTGGACGACTTCGATAGAGTCCCCGCCCGATCTCAATCATCAAATCAGTTCTATAAAAATAGCCTGCTCATTTGAACTGTGTGATTGTTGGGGAAAGGGCAAACTCCTCTAGTAATCAGTCTCCGCAGCCAGCAGTAAGTGAGAAATCTGTACGGTATATATGGAACGCAGAGGAGGTCTCCGGGTATCCCGTCGTGTCTGGGTGAACCGATGATTGAAAATTACGAACAAAGATATCTCTTGGAAAATTTGAACAGATCCTATGAGCGCCATTGTGATTCCAAGGATTCACAGGACGTGTGGCTTTTCAAAGCTTCGTGTTCCCATGTGAGGCCACGTCCCCGTTGTGCTATCCAGATTCACAAGAGATTTTCGGTCAAGACGGATCCCAGACGACGAGACGAGAGAGCAAGCAGCAACCTGCCATGCGAATACTTTATTGAAGCAGACAAAAAATATTAGTAAAAAGGGGGAAAAGAAAAAAGAAAAAAAAGTTGCCAAACCCGACCGGAATTCGATGGATACAAAAAAGAAACTCTCCCTCGGGGAATCGAACCCCGGTCTCCCGCGCTTATCGGTGTTAATGACAAGCGGAAATCATGACCACTAGACCAAGGAAGATGAGACGATCGAGTTACCGCTCGACCACTTGGTGCTGGTTGATATACTGCCAGGCAACTTTTGAATCTATGAGGGAATACTTCTGACCTCGAAACTCCTGCCCTTCTTATACATCAGGGGGTCGGAAATTCTGCTTTTTATTTCATTTTTCCCGACATTCCAAGTGATAACAGGTTTCCAAAGGTATAAATCTGGGAGGGGGATACCAAAAAATTCCAAAACGTACGCTATGTCCTATACGTTAGATCAGCTGAGACTAAATCAACATAACTCTGTGAACCATATATATATTGCACTAGATAGTATACAACAACGCATAATTTATGGTATTACTTTGGAGAGAAAATGAGCGTTTCAAGGTAACCTTAATTTTCAAATACCGACTGGCCCGACCCTGTAAGGATAGATATACATAAATGGACACAGATTGATTATGCATTCACCCAGAGGAAGATCATATCTCGCACCAATTTGCGAAGAAGTCACCTGCGATTGTAAAATTTATAAAAAACAACGTAATTGGACCCAATTCAGGTCCTGGAACCTAAGATGAGATTATTATCCCACAGGAGCAGCTCAAAGCTAGCTATCAGGGGTCATTGTGTGACAATTTCTTCCTAGAGATGTTATCCGTGCGATCAGGATAGGTAAATAGCGATTACCCACCCTCGAAGTCGCTTCTAAATCAAGTAGTTAATGCTGGAGTGAGCTTGGCTATAGATGACAACCCGGCAGATACTTCCGGAATAAAACCCTTTATATCGCATCCTTTGCAGCCAGGAATCACATTGCTCAATCTAACTGAAAGTCTCCTGCAAAAATCCATATGATGATTCTTTTGAGATGATGAACACCGTATCCATCAGGGGAGCCACGTATAGCCGTATAGTGCATAAAATATCGGTTCTAACTAGTAGCACATGTCACAATATATACGCCTTTAATAATAAGTAATTACACGACCTCGCTCACCCCTAGTACGGCTATATACATTAGCGGAGTGATTCCCCACCTATCCGTGGTTTCGAGATTATACCTAGTATCCAGAATAAGTTTGAATATTTGCGGGTTACAGACGGCCATATATAATGGTGTCTAGCCTAGGAAATTTCGATGGCTATCTAAGTTGGTCAGTTTTGGAAGTAGGCATTAAACAGTTGCCGTTGCTCCACACAAAACAGTATCTTGAAGTGGTATAGATCCTCGAAATCCTGAGAGCCACTAAATTATTAGTAGAGGTGGTAGAAGATACGCAAAGCCATAATAATGACCTGGGTTATTCTTAAGTAGGGTCGTAAGGTATTCGTGATAGAATAGGTCAGGCGTGCATTCTTCCGATATCCAACCAGGCGAGCATAGCGAAGGCCATTTCTAGAACAGCGGCGAATTCATACCGCTAGGATCAAATCCTAGTTACAGAATAGTATCAAGCAAATCAAGATGGCGGCCTTCCCCGATCCATGAGACGCATTCTGTGAGAAATCTATGATATAAGCTCGGTCAGAATAGCCATCGGCCAGTATTTGGTGGGAAAAAAACTCGCTATCTTCATTTTCGATTTCTATGCCTAACTCGTTGACGAGAAAGGCAAGCAATTCGAATTGGTCCGTCTGATTAGACCAAGGACCATGATAAAGAAGCACCTTAGGTATTTTAGCCAAGCTTCGAATTCTTCACTACAAAGAAATACTCACCTAGATATAACTTTCGCCGTCTCGATTAACATATTGCTAGAGGGGAGACGACAATTTGTTGATGTTTCGAAGTTGGTTTTGAGCGTCTGCAAGTGATGTAAGGTAATTTCTACACATCCACAAAGTCTCAAACCCGGGAGGGGTATAGTTCACCACTCTTTTCAGGCTGAGAGCTGGCCGTAAAGAATATATTCCAGAGCGAAGAATAAATTCAAAGTCCATTAAAAGTGCCCATGGAAGACGGATTCTATTAAAAGTAAGTCGAAGTTTGCATCGAATTCTTTCATGTCAAATTTATCGTTGTCACATTTCCCAAGAATTATGGAAAGCGGGGTGTATTCTAATCCTCAGTAACGCCCTCGGCTAATTTCCGTTATGTGGCACGAAGTTAAGAGTTATGGCGAAAGAGTTGATGTACAAAGCAGGGGCATTAATAGGGCCATAACATTAAATCCCACCTATGGAACTAGAGACAATTGGTACAGCACGATTCCTATCAGCCTCGGCACATGGAGACTCTATAGCATCCCCTTAATATACGTACTCCATCAGCCGGGGTGCTAGATGCTAGCACAAGACCACCGACCCACGAAACGATGGACTAGGGGATTACCTGACTAGGCAGGAACCTAGAAAGAGTCAATTTAATAAGCTTGTGAGGTCAAGCCACTTAAGGACCGATTTATGACTACATGACTTACACGGCCGTTTGTTGCGAAATAGCTATATAAACAACCATGGGAGGAAGTTGTGCGACATAGGGTGTGGGCCCATGCAGTAGGAGATCTTAGGCCTTATCCTGTGAAGAGGTCGTAGAAAGATGGCCCGGCCCCTCCAGGCTATAGCTCACTTGGGAATTTGTCTGCTAATGTTGATTGTTACTTGTTCATTGTTAGCCAGGAATCCGACACTCATTTGTTAGTTCAGCCGGACCAAACAGTCTATATTGCGCCGATCAAGACAATCCAACCAATATCTTCGAGGAGTTGTATGACTAAGAGTGCAACAGATCCGCTAGTTACACACCCTAGTAATGACTTATTCAGAGAATTGATGCTTCTGAGCTCGTAATACACCATGAACATATCGAGTACGCTCCAGCCTTCTGCAATCAAACGACTGGAGCTTTTATTATAACCTAGCGTTTTCAATATATGTAGACCGGTGCGCTTATTCTGAAGAAGCTGCAGACTTGCGTGGATTCTTCCTTAACCCTGATTTTCCTTATTAACCGTCTTCCATTTCTGTGGCTAGAAAGAAGAAATGTAAGTGGGATAGGAAATATGCACTAACATCCCCAATGCCGTTTATAAAGGACTTCAGATTCTTGCTTTGGTCTTCTGCTACTTCCCCTTCTTCAATCCTGAAACGATTTACGCCGTACAGGACAGCCTTAGCCTCAATGTTATTTGTTGATTAGGGTAAAATAAGGCAAGGGGATTAATTAAAAAATCCCCCCTATGCATCAGGCAACCCCCGCCCCCCTGCCTGAAGATGCCTGGATTTTCAGAGGTTCAGGCATCAAGACAAACATTTTCGATCACATGATAGAGGAAGAACATTATTCCGCAGTACCCCTCTCACCGCCCTCATCGCCTTCATCCCACCTCCAAGATCCACTACCACTAATCTTTCTCTTTCTTTAACCCCCCTTACACTACTAAGATTTCTTTCCCTCTCACACATACTAAGAGTGATACCAAGGGTAACCATGGTAACCGTCGTGGGCGTAGGGGTAATAGTGGGTGATAGGCAGAAAGGGTGGCAGAATTTAGGCAGAGAGGGAGTACTGGCAGAACTTTTGGCAGAAAAAAAGTTGATGGCCTTGGTACCTTAACGGCCTGAAGATTCAGGCATCTAAAGGTGGGGGGGGGGGGGGGGGGGGGTTACCTGATGCAGAAGGGGGGGGGGGGTTTCTATTAATCCCCTAAAGCAATTCATGCACGAGGCTTGTTCGCAAGAAAAGGGTTTTCAGGATCCTGGGAAACATAAAGGGTCAGGCACGGCAATCACTCCTTTGAAGATGTCGTAGCTAATCTCAATAGGCAAGGCAGATATGCCAACAGAAATCGAGTGATTGCAGAGCTGGTGACTTTCCGGTATCGAGCCGGACATGGTGCATGAACAGGATGGGGTTCCTGGATTCAAGGGAGAAGAGGGGGGAAGTTATGACAGACCACGCGATACATCTATCACGTGGGGTTTCTTCCGCCTGATAGAACCTTGAATATCCCGATCGATTGAACTAGATCGTGGATAAAGGATTTTATTTACTACGTTTCTCGCACAAACTGTACTAGCAATTAATATACTTGCTAGTTAAGCAAGCTAAATCCACAATGTCGTTATTGCGAGATCAATGTCTTAGGGATACCTCCAGTTCTCCTTACCGTCCATCAGTTTCCAAGTCGGCACGCAGCTTATTGATTAAAAACGTTAGCATCCAGACAACCTCCGTGTTTCTGTCCTCCACGTAATGTTGGCGATCGAGGAAGCTCCTTATCATCTGTTCATGATGATGATGTGACGCTGGTGACGACGTCATGAGCCAGGCGGGGTCGAGAGGGCCAACATCCTGCTCGCCCGAATGCAGCAGCGAGACAATCCGAGACCTGGTAACCCCAAGGTCTTCAGTGCACCGACTATCGCGAAGCATGGAAGCTAGCCATGCCATCTCCTCAACTATCAGAAGGCGGAGAAGGCTCTGCGGTACCCCGTCGCCTTGGGTAGATTGGGAGGCGGAGAGCGTTAGTCTACCAGCACTCTCCATATCGTGGTCTGGTAGCGATGGAATCGAGTGGGAGTTCTGTACAGGTAGCTGACGGGAATCATGATTTTGTTCCCTATGGGAAAATCGAAGGCAGGGCTTGTACACCACAGAGGCGACGACGACGATATTTTTCCACAGCGCGGTGGAACAGAAGACCAGGACGTGGTGCAGGAATTCGCCCATGGCCATTACAAGGTTCGTGAGGATTGGCAAAACGAGCAACGACCAAAAGACAAAAAAGACCTTACCAAGACTTCTGGTGGGATATAAGTCGCCGTATCCGATAGTGGTGAGCGAGGTATAGGTAAAATAGAGGGCGAGAAAGTAGGACCAGCCCTGCTGCTGCTCGGAGGCACGGAACACCACTGCACTGAGAAACCAAAGCACCAACCAGGCGAGCAGGAAGAAGATCAGCTCTTTCCGGTATAAACTGTTACGGAACTGGGACTTGATGTGATGCATCTCGCGCACCTGCGAGGCCCGGGGCAAAGGAGACTCACGGTCCTCGGAGGTTGCGCTCTTCCCCCAGTGATCGCACATCTGGGCCATCTGCAGGTGCAGCTTCATTTCACGCATGTCGCGGGTGAATGACAGCACGGAACTAACCATCAGGCCCAGCGTAATAATCCCGGCAGTGGCATAGGGAAATAGTAGGCTGCGGCCTAGGTGGGTGTGGGGAACAAGATTGCCGATGCCGATGGTGAGGATGGTGAAGTCGGCGAAATACAACGCATCCAGCAACGACCAGCCCTCCACTGCACGGTAGATGGCAGCTCCAACGAGAAGCACAGTCGCCAAACAAAGAGATCGCAGGATAATATTCATCCGCTGTACACGACGGCAATCCCGGCGACTGAGCTGGATCCGGGGCGCACCCACCACATACACCGCCAGCAGGAGAGCCACTAGCGCATATAGCCCCGCAGCAAAGACGCCATAATAGAAGGCCTGAGTATATTCTGGCCGGGATTGGAGCGGTAGGTGGCGGTGTCGCTGCACGACAACACCGACGATGCTAAACAGGAGTGCAGCAGCTATTAGCCAGCCCAGGACGCTAATCCAGAAGACAGCGACTCGTCCATCATAACGCCGCATCAGTACCAGGTAGGCGATATATCCGGAGACCGCAACGGTGAGCGATACGGCTTGTAAGACGGCCATCCTGTGGTATATGTATCAAGCTGCCCCTATGTATGTCCAGGTCCAGACAAACTCACCACGTTGAGAGGGTAACGTGCTGGTCATCGATATTGATCCACCCGCTTGAAAGCGCACAGATGTTGAACATCATTGCCGTAACATACAGCCTGCCCTGTTCTGAATCAGGCTCCAGAAGCATTAGCGCCCGTTGCTCTATAGAACTTACCGCAGTGACGGGGAGCCCAGTGACAAACAGCCATCGCCGTCGAGGATCCTTACGCTGGCTCTTAGGGTCACTGTGCTCACCACTTCCTACTTTCGGTTTCCAGGGGGACATACTGGGCGGATAATGTTAGTAGAAAAGAAAAAGGGTGGTAGCTTGATGGAGTCATCATGAGGGAAGGTTCCATGGGACGGACAGTTAAGAGCGGATGATCTTACTGTATCTGCGTGGGGCGATTATGTTATCCGTTCTTGTCCATGCTGTACCGGAAATTGGAGTAGCAGTTATGCAGTCTTCATGACCTCCTATTAAAGGAGCATAGATAGTTTGTAATCTTGAGTTTATACAATAACTTGAACCACTTTACTCTAAGTACCTTGCTTGGTACAACCCCACTCCATGTCATTCGATTATCGGTATATATCAAAACGGGTTGAATTGGTATAGGCTAGTATGCATATGGACGAATGAGAACTATCGGAATCATACAGACAAGGTTGATTGATTGAAGAAAGGAAAGGACTCGAACGAATGGAAAAGGGGCAGGTTGAGCTGTCCCATGGCGGTGTAACCGGGTATTCGAGTGACCATACCGATGTCGAAAGGTTACCCGTATATTACATACAAACACATACAAAATCTGGGAAGGAAATGGACCAATCCGAGGTCACTGTAATGAAACTCTCCACTTTTCCACGATAGTATATAATATGCCCACTGATTACCACTCTCTTCATATCTTCTTAAATCATCAAATTTACCAGCATGTAGTCGGTTCCCCCTGGTAAATAGACCCATTACGCATACAATGCCATGGATACTTTATTTGTTTAGTCTAGCAGGAACAAATCCATTCTAGCAGGAACAAATCCATGCCTAGTGCACAAGACGTGTTTGTTGAACGCACAGACCATCCAAGGGCAATTGACAGTTGGTAACTCCACCTGGCATGTCGCATTCTTGAGGAAGCCTGGGCAGGCAATCTACATACATGCTCATTGAGTTAAGTATTCAGGTTTTTCCCATAAAGTCTGGCGCATAAAAGTAAACATCCATATTCACCTGTGCCTCTAACGCTTTAGCACGGTAACTCCTAAAAATATATCGCTACAAAGGTTTAGAGTCAATGCAGTATCTCGAATAATCCGAACGTGTCTTGAGAATATGTTTCAATTGAATCTATTGCATATTTTTAACAGATATTGGAACCTCTTTCTTTGTGATGAAAGGACCAATTGCTCATTTCTGAATCAGACATGGCAACTGGGTTCGTGGAATTCTCTGTACTGGATCATAATGTTCAACAATACTTTTTTAAGTCCCGTCCATGCGATACATATCTGCGAGAGCCGCTGATTCTGGATCTTCATTCACTTTCACGTACGCCAAACTGGTATTGCCGTTAAACATTGATGCCAGGATAGTGAGATTTGCGAAAGGGATGAATTGTGATAAACTTGTAATGATAGTACCACCAACCACTGCTCCAGGTATGTACCCTCACATTATACCCTCATAGCCCGGGCCATTTATCCGCCAATCATAAAAAATACAACACTTCAAGAGGAAGCGAATTCGGTAGGCCTACAGAAAGATTTAACATATATGAGTCTATTCTTAGGCTCGGCACACTCTTCGGTCGTTTATATATATATATATATAGCTGGTGCACGTATTCCTCTAAAAGTCTGAACAACATTGCCATCTCACGTCAGGGTTAATAGTAAACTAGTAATAGATTAAAAGGAGACTACGTAGAGTCTAATACTATTACATATTCGTATCCATAACGAAGGCGAAGGTAGACAGGGATAGCGACACAAATATAATTTTTAGAATTCCTTAGCTAAATATAATCAATTCTGTTCTTGAACATATATAGAGTAGTATACTACTACTTTTATTGAAAATGATCACTTGTAAAGTTCTGTATTATAGTCCAAAGTAAGTCGAATAGGTACAATACAAGTAGTCCCTCTTCGGTATAATCCTACGTAGTATCCCGGTGACGATATAGGTAGATACATCGCACTCTACCCTTAACTAGCAGAGTACCCCGCCTCCTTCAAGCTGCCAGACAGGACCAGAAACAGCACGCTCATCGATCTCACCACTAGGCGTTGTGGCTTTAGGCACTAGGCCACCGATCTGGGTAGGGCCATCTGCGATAGGCTCGTAGCCTTGGTTGGGAGGGGTAGGTGGCTCGTCGTAAACAACCGTGACATTGGGGGGGAGGTTGAAGTTCGAGTACAAGGTGCAAGTACGACGTGTTCCCTCATCGTTGTACTTCCACACATAGCTGTCACAGGAGGCTGGAGCATTGATGCATTCCTCGATACAGGCACATTCATCATTGACATTCGGGGTGACTGTAGTGAGGACGCCGGTAACATCGTAGCCTCTAGTGTAGCGAATGCAGCCCTTATCCTGTGTCTTCAGATGTGGGCAGATTTTCTTAAGGGCGTTGTCGTCATGTTCCGGGTCACCATTAGTCCGAAATGCGGTGGTGATATCACAAGCTGCGAGAACACAGGCGATGAATGGGATAGAGAAAAGCATGTTGCAAGTTCTGAGAACAGAGGTAAGATGGAAAGTAAACTGTTGTAGCCTTGATAACTTCTGAATGAATTTTAATGTTTCTCAAAGTGGTTACGCTACTAGGGAGCAATTGTCCTTAAATAAACTGGCTAAGAAAAGCATAGAAGGGGAGGCAGCAAGTGTTGAATGCCGCCCAGGGAATGGGAATGGGACACTGTAACCTTTACAAATTCCATCCCCTTTATTATTAAACTGAAGAGTTCTGTAGCGAGGGTATGGAATGGAGATTAATTTATTACCCAAGGCATCGATCGCTAGAAACTCCTGAAAAAGCTAATGGAATGTGTCTTTGAGTATATTTATTAATATCGCAACCACAGACACAGCTAGAGAGGTCGAAATGCGGAGCTGAGCTCAAGATGAAATTGTAATAACTTACGTTGACAGTTAAGAAGAAACCTTAGTCGACCCGTCATAATGAATATGAAAACCGGTTGTAAAATACCATACTTGAACATCTTCGGACTAGTCGGGGAACTATATTTTTTCAACCGGAAATTGGAATGAATATCTTCTCCCTGATACATATTTCGGGGTTAGGAACGAGTCACCTGAAAAGGCCAGTCAAAACCAGTCAACAGAACAACCGGCCAAGTCCTTCAGGGTGATATGTTCTTCCAAATCCTCGGAAAGCCATCCGGAGCGTATATCCGGATTTTAAATATACATAGAAAGCTTCGTAAACGCTCTTATCAACATCGAGAGCCCTTGAGTGGGGGGATATCCTGGGCTAGATCTCTGGATGTGGAAGTATCAAAATTAGGATATGCGGTACCTTACCTACCCATAACTATACTATCGTATTAAATTTTACCGAGGCTAATATTAAGGTCTCGATATATAAACCAAAGTCCGTTTGATATCTACTTCGTAGTGAGTAATTTAGAGTCGAATACTCTCGCTAGGACAAATAGGGGATATTTGTTACGGACCTCAAAGAGGCGCGGGGGCCGCAGTTATTTGAGGGCACCCGAGAGCTAATCATTCCACGGACGCTAAGGATTAGCGTTGTCACGTGTGTCTCGGTATACTTGGGTATACCCCGGAGGGCTCCAAGGCAGACATTCAGGATGGGAGCCAGAAACGGCCTACGGCTAACCGTCACAACTATTACTCACTTACACCACGGGACGGTTAGCGCGACGCAGGAAACGGCTACCCTTTTACCAGCACCAAGATTACGCCACAAATGCGGGAGACCGGTAAACCCACACGTAGGCCTCTGCATGGTGCGGTCTTGGTCCTTAGGTCGAGGACCGCGGACCGGACCGCACGGTCTTGCGGTCTCGAATTCGGGGGTTGAGACCGCACCATAGTGAACCGCGGTCCCTTGCGGTCTTCACCACGGTGAACCGCAATTGCATAATTCTACCAAGACCTTCTCTTTTCGGCTACATAAATTGATGATTCATCCCATTTAATTACTGTTATTAAACACTGTTTTGGTCCCTTCATAAACATTTACTGTATTTCAGCATCAGCCACTATGAAAACAGATGAAATATACTCGTATATAGAAAATCTACTATTTAAAATACCTAGACCTGCCAGTACTAGTATATTTCTAAGTTCTAATAGAGAGGTTTAGTAATAATTATTGCTGGCTAGGTGTATGAGGTAAGAAATATATATTTCGATATCAGTACCTGACCCTATCTTCATCTGAGACTTCTTCGTTGAGTGTACATAACCCCCTACATACAGCTAAAATAGGTATTAAGGGTATTATCAGAGAGCTTAGATTCTCTAGTTAACTATTTATCTTGAAATTCTATATTCTACTACTAATATATCATAATAATCTCTTTTCAAAATTGGTTTCTCTGATATGAAGTGTAGACTTAGAAAGAAAAGGAGGATTATACTATTATATGGGCCTTCTAGCGGTCCTTTTCGGTCCTGTGCGGTCCTCCTCATGGTTCTCTGCGGTCCTCTGCGGTCAATCATAGTATTTCCTACTAGCTGTCTATGCGGTCTTCTGCGGTCTTTGCAGCCCTCTATGCGGTCTATCGCGGTTTTTCCTGCGGTTCTATGCGGTCTTCTGCGGTCTTCGTAGCCCTTATCCTATCGGATTGTAGTAAAGTGGAGCCTACTGCCTAATCACTATTACAATTCAATTTGATCTATCTAAATCATGCCTATAGCTTTCTCCTAGAGAAAATCCTTTATTCAGCTTTTTCTAGTAGACGGAAATATTTTAGCAGGTATCTCCTTAAGTCCTTTACCTCCCCCGTCCTATCCTATACTCATTTCGTCAAAATGTTACAGAGTCAGGCCTCCTCTCAGTTCTCTGATCAGTATCCCTCATCGGCTTTTGAGGATAATCCACGAGATACTTTCTCCTTCTTCACATCTGATGGGCTGTTTAACCTCGACGGGCGCGAAACGCCAACTTCTACTCCTAACGTGAACTTACTCCGACCGGCGATTCCTCCTGTTATCCCAGAAACACTCGAACGCGTTGGTCCTCCTAAAAGGAAAAACTATATCCTCTGGACAGAAATGGCGAATGAGGATTTCATCGTCTGGTGGTTAAAGACGGAGTATGGAAGTAAGATGAAACGGAATATCTTTGAGGGTAGACGCAATGCAGAATGTTGGGACCACTTCTACCAGGTCGCTACTATCCAGGATGGGTCTCCTAAGGTAATATGCAAGAATTGCGACCATATCCTTGCCCATCCTGCCGATAAGCGCCGGGGAACATCTACTATGAATAGGCATTATTCGCAAGTAGGTACCTGTCGGAGAGGACCGACTCAGTCGCAAGATATTAGGAAGGCTATCAAGAACGGGGTATGGATAATCAGTCTACCTTTTTCTAATTATTACTAATCTTATAAAATACCCCTTCTAGGCATATCTGTCGTCTCGTAAAGCATCATTTACGCCGCAAGCTTGGATGGAAAGGTTAATTACCTTTATTGCTGCCTCGCGGCTACCCTTCCAGCTTATTGAGCATCCTGAATTTCGCGCCCTTCTTGAGATGGCCCGGCTTGCTCCCTGCTTCCCCGAAATCCCAACTGCAACCACAGTCCGCCGTCATCTTCAAGAGATCGTGGAAGAACGCCAGTATACTCTTCTACAGAAGCTTCCTAATAGTGCTAAGCTCTCTATTGCATTAGATTGCTGGACCTCACCATTTCGCCAAGCTTTTATGGCAATAACGGGCTATTTCATTGACCAAGAGTGGAATTACCGAGAGCTCTTGCTTGGCTTTGAACCTCTACAGGGCTCACATACGGGGGCCTATCTAAGCACTGTCCTGCTTGACCTTCTTGAGAAGCATCGGATTACTGAGAGGGTGTTAACTATTACTACTGATAACGCATCTAATAACGGAACATTACTCGGTAGCCTTCAAGAGGTCGTCGAATCCCTACAGCTACCTAGTAGTATACCGGTTATTCGTATACCATGTATTGCACATGTTATACAGCTCAGTTTGAAGGAGCTCCTTGGTCAGATGGACGCGAACCCAGGAAACGAGAGGGAAGAGATTGAATGGACCGAGAAAGGGCATATAGCTCGGCAAGAGAATAGAAAGATCGTGGATACTCTGAACAAGGTCTAGCTCTCTCTAATCTCTTACTATTATCTCTCTTTCTTTACTAACTCGCACTATATTCTAGGTTCGGAAGGTAGCAGTCTACATCAACAAAAGTCCCCAGCGCCGCGAGAGCTTCATAAGGCTTCAGACGAAAGAGCCTAAGCTTATGCCTATACAAGATGTTCGGACACGATGGAATTCGACGTTCCTCATGCTCAGGCGTGCCCGGCGATTGCAGTCTGCCTTTGATGACTTCTGTGTCCAATTCAACCTCGCTGATGTAAAGATAGACAGAGATAAATGGCGACAAGTTGACTATCTTCTGTCAATCACTTATCCCTTCTTCAAATTCACTTCGTCTCTTTCGGCAACTACAGACGTGACTATCCATAACGTCTTTGGTATCTATAACGCCCTATTCACACATATTGATAAGGCGAAAGTGCAGCTAGCGCGAAAGAAGGTTGGTTGGAAGAGAGTGATGAAGTCCGCGCTTGACCGTGCGCGCGATAAGCTTACAGAGTATTATGGAAAGACTGATGATATTCCTGGTGATCTCTATGCAATTGCGACTATCCTAGGACCACGGAACAAGCTAGAGTTCTTCACAACATCTGAATGGGAACCTCACTGGGGGCCTCGCTATAAGCAGTCGCTAGAGGCTTACATTCAGCCTTACCGGCAGCGCTACGAAGAGGCACAGTCTACATCAACTCTCCAGCCCACAATTCAAGACGTCTCTGACATTGATATCCTTCTGAGACCTACTGTATCTCTTCAGTCAAACGTGACGGCTCCAGATGAGCTTACACGGTATCTTAGAAGTAGTAAGTTAATCTATATACCTCTTCTTATATACTCCTTCTCTTATACCACCCTCACTAGGTACTGTCGAAGCAACCCCTCTCGTTTTCTGGAAAGAACACCAAAATGAATATCCTATTCTGGCAAGCCTTGCTCGAGACATCCTTACAACACCAGCCAGTGGTTCTGGCGTTGAGCGGTTATTTAACTCTGCGCGTGATATCTGCCATTATCGCCGGGGCTCACTGAAACCGCAGACAATCAAGGAATTGATGTTGTTTATGTGTACAACAAAATTTGACGTGGAGTCAGAGCAGCTTGCCCTAGTTGATGAGTATCTTTCTACGCAAGAGAAGCAAGCAAAGAAAGAGCAGAAGGACGCCCAGAAGAAAGAGGAACAATTTGATCCAATTAGTGATAACGAGGAAGACCTATCCACTACTGAAGATTCTGCCGAAACTATCCAACTTCCTAGTGCGCGAGCGCTTGGAAAGAGAAGGGCTACCCCGGATCAGCTATTTGAACTTGACGATGATGACGATGAGGTTCCCCTGCCTGATAATAGCCACTTAGAAGAAGGGAGGACTACTCAGAGGCGTTCATCTGGGCGTGTTCCAAAGCGCTTGAGACAGGATGAGGATTTTGTATATCTTTAATAGAAACAAGAACCACATAAGCTATTCATAAGGAAATCAGTCAATCCTCGCTTTTTCGGTAGAAATCAACAGACACCAAACAAAGAATTATTCTTTACTCCTACCTCAGAATTATATAAAATTAAATATCATTTGAAAGCAGAATACTCAAAAATACAGGCGACTTCTACATAAATTATGCATACCTTGGGTCTAAGATGTTTTGCTTGTTTGCAGGACCGCAGGACCGCACCAAACCGCAGTGGTGCGGTCCCTAAAAATGTAGGACCGCCCAGCGGTCTCAAGGTCTGGGACCAAAGACCGCGCGGTGCGGTCTAATGCGGTCTTGGGTGCGGTCTTTCCGGTCCCGTGCAGAGGCCTACCCACACGTGACGCTAAGGATATACTCCTAAGGAGTAGGAAGGACTAGATATATAGGGACACTCATTTCGTTTTATGTATTTAGTCCTTCGCGATTAATTGCACATTGTTACTTAGTTACTACCTTTAGTACTTGTCGGACTTTAGGCGGTGACCATAAAGTCGTGGTAATGCACACAAGAAGATAGTGTATGCACAAGTAGGATAGGACTCAATGTGGTGTCTGTATACACGGTTATGAGTATAAAGGTCGTGCGCACTTCTTCGAAGTTGAAGAAGTACCACGACTGTGGAAGAGTACCACCGATCAAGAAGAGAGATCAAAAGGGATGGTAAACTTGATTCAATATAACTAGAAAACAGGGCAGTATTTATATCTCAGGAAACATGGTAAAAGATCACATGAAATATCAGGAATATCAGAAGTAACCATGGAGTATTATATAGTCTCCTGCCTAGGTAGGCAATTCAATGCGAGATCATTGAAGATCAATCTGATAGATCTTATAGAGAGGATCTAGAAGCGATGAGGGGTAGTAGGTCTTCTATCCCATGACCCCACAACATCCATATGTTGACAGTACTTTAATTCATAATTCACCTTTAAGACAACCCAACCTATAAGTAGGGGATTCACTTAGTGGTAACACTTAGTGATTGACTTACTTGGCGCGCACTTCTGGCACGTTCTGCAAAATACTCAATAGGATCTAATCCGTAGTAAGGCTTTGCGAAGTAACGGTACGATTGAGAGATACCCTTAGAATCCGCAGTAGCACTAGGTACGTATAACCCTTTGAAGCTCTACTCACAGTGACTAGTCGGCTCCGCGTAACAATATTAAGCGAGGCTCACCTCTTTACAAATAAATAATATATAAGCTTATCGAAGTAGTACACAAGAAATGAGACTTCTATTACTTCTTAAGCGAAATAAATAATTTCTCTATCTAGAAATACATCCAAGAGATTAATAATCTTAGCGTAGGACGTCTTTAGAAGAGATTCTAGCTTATCTATCTCCTTTCGCTTATGCTTCTTAATAGCCACGAGATAACCGGGGGAGTCGAAATAAGTTACTAGAAAAAGAATATTATTCTTTCTACTGTGTTTAATGTTAAGCACCTAGTTAAAGAATACCCAGGAAAAATTAAATGCGAATGCTCGGGAACTAAGTGCTCGGAAGAAGTTAACTTATTACGCCATATCAACAATATACCCATTTTCAATGTTTAGATATCTAGGTGAAGAGGATTACAACCAGAACTATTTCGGACTTAGCCTTTTATATCACATATGTTAAAAAGTAACAAATAGGCATTTACTCGAATATGTTTGCGCCTTTACGCCTAATATAGCCTCGGTGTTTCGCCGCGCTGTGGCCTACGGCGTAAATCCTCGTGTACGTATATATAGAATCTTCCACTTCCTGAAAACGAACTTAGAGCCTCGTTCAGGCCATCCGTGGCCTAATCGCCGTTCCTACTGTTAGGCTACCCTTATGGGGCGCGGCCGTGAAACCTTTGTGACGCCTCGGTGAAGTCTAGTACGGCATTAACCGTCCTGGCTCGCGAGACTGTGTCTGGTTTACCTCTCTTACTTTGTTTTAAGCCTCCTAGAAGACTTAGTACGCTGTTAAATACGTCGCTAACTTTTCTCCGTAACTCTATCCGAAGTTCCCTTAACCTCGGGTAGTCCACTAACACGTAGGTGACTATTTCTTACGCTCGTATATCTATAGGTTATCGTCACTATAGCTAACTGTCAACATGTGGATGTTGTGGGGTCACATGACGAAGGATCCACTCATATAACCCCCCCCTACATCTAGATCTTCTCTATAAGATCTATCAGATTGATCCTCAACGATCTTGCATTGAATTGCATACTCGCATTGAATTGCCTACCTAGGCAGGAGACTATTTAACACTCCACTTTCTTATCATTTCATGTGATCTTTTACTATGTTTCTTATGATATAAATACCGCTATGTTTCCTACCTAGATTGAATAAAGTTTATCATCCCTTTTGATCTCTCTTCTAGATCGGTGGTACTCTTCCACAATAGTGGTGCCTCTCCTTCTTCATAAGAAGTGCGCACGACCGATAGACTTATAACCGTGTATTCAGACACTACATTGAGTATTTACCTTTATGCACACTATCGTCTTGTGCGTATAACCACGACTTTATGGTCACCGCCTAAAGTCCGACACTAACCTTCTTACGGTAGCTAGATAGCTAATTATAGCAAGTTCGGAGCTATATTAGGAGGTATACGTGGTTCCCCGGTAGGTTCTTATATAATCTCCTTATACAACTAGCTAGTAGTACGTTACTAATATTTCGTAAGGGACTACCCTTAGTAGATGATTTAGCGCTCTCTCTCTTATGAGAAGAGGACGGAAAGGATAGGTTTTGCCTAGGCTAGTAGCGTCGCTTCTAGGGTTATTAGAATAGCCTAGTACCTATTAGAGGCGGAGGGAGATTCTAGCTGTTAGAACTTTAGTAGTAGCCTGGAGGATCGCGTAGACGATCCGTTATCCTGATTTGTTTCGCGCGCTCTAAACTACCTATAGCTATAACCTACTATCGTATAGGATTAATACTATTCGTTATTAGTCTACGGTTCTTGAGTATTAATAGGCTATCCTGAATACTATACTAATTACGTAAAATATATCTATAAATGAGCTCCGCTATATAGATAGTCTAGCAGTCTATCAGTCCTACCTAGACCTATTGGGATTCGGCGATCTCTAGGTTATAGTCGAGCGCCATAACGGCGGCACCGAGGTAGCCATCACGTCCCGAGGCGTCTGAGTAGACGACAATATCGGACGTGGACCGTATAGTCTCGGCTAGATCTATTACCGTTTCTCCGTCTGGCCCGATCTTAATCTCCGTGAAGGCCTCGGCTCGCTACGGTAGTAGCGGCGCTAGGCCGCTTAACCAATCTACGGTTATGGTCTTTAAAGCTTCCGCGAGTAGGAAGCGAGCCTAAGATCCGATATTGTTCCTACCTGTTCTAAGCTCGTGATAATGTACTCTATATAGGGTATTCTCGAGGTAGGGTATAGAGACGTGCGATGGTATTCTAGGCTCGGTGGCAGAGACGGAGGTAGGTTAGGAAGGATATGTGCCTCTTCTTCTAGGGTTATGGTTGCTACCGTTCTGAACGCTGATAGGATCTGGATCAGCGATTTCCTCTGGACCGAGTTCAGGTGTCGTACGTGAGTCTTGTCTCGTAATAGGTCATACCAGACCGTCGATGCGTAGTCTACCACTGGCGTGACGTAAGCCCGGTAGAGTTTATGCATCTGTTCTAGGCATAGATGTCGTAGCCTACCCAAGGCGATGCTAACTTTGGTTACGCGCTTCATTGCTTATTAGACGTGTTCTTTCCATCTCAGCTCCTGATCGAAGATCCCGCTGAGCAGCTTAGCCGTGGGTGACGGTTCCACTGTCTTCCCATTCATAACCAAAGCGAACAACGACGCCCCTCTACCCTTCAGTGCGTTCAAATACAATGTTGGGTTTGGCCCCCTTGCGGTGGTCGCAAAGACTGGAAACCTGATCCTGTATAGCAGTGAGTAAACTCACCCACCCTAGATTTTGATTCCGAACTAGCTAACTGAAATATGTGCGACAGACCACGAAGCCGGTGGCCATTTCCCTAGTCTTGATAATCCTCCTGCTTTGCTGGAGGATTTACGCGAGATTGTGACTTATTGGTCTGGATAGGCTGGATACCGTCGCATGATTATTCGTGGAATTAAGAACAAAGTGATAACCCAGGAAGTTACTTGCTGGTGGGGGTAACTACTCGTCTCATGAGTGGCTTGCATATATATGGGAAAATATACGTGCCCGGAACTTCGTGTTATCAACATATATAACGTCAGGACTAGTCCATGGACTAGAGCTTCGAAGATAAACATGAACTAGAGTGAAGGTAGCCGATGGCTTTATTGATTGCCTAATCGCTGAGGTGGCAATCACAAATAAACCCAATCTTAATCAGTGTAATGTTCTATACGCTTGCCAACGGGAGAGTTTAACACAACAAATAAATACGATTTGAACCAAAAAACCAAACACATACAACAGCCAGGATTCGTAAGTGGTCACCCACAATACTAATAGCTGGCCGGCATGTGGCTTAAGACTTTAAGTGAGTACAGAGAGATGAACCTAAAGCTACTCTGAAATTGGACCTATAGCATCTCTAGTGAAATATATAGAGCTACGCTTTGCGGTGAGTCCCATCTACAATGACCCTGGACAATTCGTACGCGCACTGATCCGTACCTTTTCGTTCAATCTTGGAGTGACTGCTCAAGTAAAAGTAGGTCCCATTGGTCTTGCACTTAGGTTTTGACCAAAGCTCAGATTATCGAGCAACACGTTATACTCCGGCATCATTTTGTCGAATATTGGTTGTGAGAGGCTTTCGTAAAAGTCAAGACCTGAACAACCGACATCAGCTGTCAGATTATTTGAATTGTAGATATCAGCAGGTGTGATGAGCGGCCATTGCGCGGCTCCATCTTGAATTAGGAAGTAGTCTGACTCCTCTATCGAGGTGGAAGAATAGATAGCAGGCGGCATGGATTCCCGCTTAGATGATTGTTGGGTGTCTGTAGGTAAAAAAGGCGAAGTGGCTTGCAGACACCAGGAACTGAGAGGCGACTGGTCACCCTGCACCGTGGAGTCCTCTGTACCCTCGGTGGTCAAAATTTGGCATTGGATGTCATCACCACACCTCTCCAGCGGCGTGAGTCCGGGGCTTTGCTCAATACAGCTATCGTCGATGTCGTTTAAAACACCAAGACGGGCAAGCAGAGCATGGGTCAGCGGATGCCCATTGGCCTGAAGCTCCAAGGGATCACCGAGCCAGCCTCTGCCCTCCGCCGTGCGGTGGTATAATTCTAGCAGACCACGCACCAGCCTACGTTGCTGTTGCTCGAGCATTTCAACGTATCTGCGAACGATAACGTATTAACTTGCAAGTTCTCACTTGATTTTGCTGGGTGTTCTGAAAGAAATACTCACCCCTGCGGATATAATTTAGTTTTTGTTTTCGTTCGCTCCCCGAAGATGCAGGGGTTTTGATCTGCTTGGCAGCGCAGACATGGGATCGCTCCATCGCACTTCTTAGGTCAGCTCCAATCCATATAGCGACAGGAATATTTTGCCTGATCTTTCATGATATACCTTGGTCTTTTTGAGACGGCAACGATCGCAGGCTTTACAAACACGCTTACGAACCCTCTCGCATTTCAGGTGGGTGGATGGATGTCTTTCTTCGATGCGCATAGTAGGAGCAGTGCGGATATCTGGGAGATAGAAGATACGGGACCGAGGTGTAGGATCAAAATCGGGAATCGGTATCATGCGTATTGTGATCATGCTCGATAAGAGTTTCCAATGGCACGGAATAAGGGTGATACATGGCAAAGTCGCCTCTGTGAGATATGCATGGGCCTAATGCACGATTCAGCCCGTATAATGGAAACTCACGGCCCGGAAACACAGGCCGAAGGCGGGTACCGACCGCCCTGAAGGCCAGCCACATTGAAGACTACGCCCCGCCCCCCCATCCAATAAGACGATCTCGATAATTATGATAGAAGCAGAGAAAAGCACTTGTGAGCTTGAGCTCCGCATGTCTACCCAGTATCGAGGTTAATGAATTCGAATATTTCAACCGAGCTTGCACGGCATGAGACTGGTGTACTTTTACCGTACTACTGCCCGTACCCTAAAAACACGCTTCTACTCGGAAAGCGTCACGAACATTCGTGCCCCAGTGTTTCTAATTTGAAGCGTTGTCTCCCATCTAGTTCTAATCGGAGGCTTTCTCACACCGGGTAAACCGGGTTTTAGATTTATAATGCAACAAGAGCCACTATCATTATATATGGTTTGGTGTGCGCTTTCTGAATACATTAATTCAAGTCCAGGCCCGGCAATTGACGGTGTTCTTAACTGCGAAGTGGATGACACGACAATTCGAGCGAGGGATTTAAAATCCCCACAGGTAGATCCGGAAATAGGACCAACGAAAAAGAGCCATTCAGTCGGAAACAGATGCCCCATACTACCTCACTTCTCGGATATCATATGCCGATCTTATGAATGGTTAGACTGCACATTTATGCCAAAATGCCTACGTGGAATCCTTGTAGCATGATTTCTATCCACACGCCTCTCTCCCACTTGATTCCTTCTATGGACTCTTGAAGTTTATTCGTAGCCCACGTTGTAACATTACCCACTAGTCTGGGAGAGATATATAAGGGTGATCAGCCCTGTCTGGCGGTATAAGGATTTCGCCTAACATTGTTCTGTTCAATCCTACAAAATTGGACAGTTACTCACTCGTTTCACAATTTTCTTTTTCAATTATTCGTCATTCAACTTCGTTCATACTACTTTCCTTTCTATTCCTGATTTTCTTCGCCCAAAGCCTTCCTGTCCCTTACAGTATTCCTACTTTCAACCTAATATCGGAGAACCCAAGGTGTGTAGCTCGCACGTAAAGGCTGTCTACCCCAAGCTGTGGATATGAGTGAGGAAAACACCTCCGCTGTGACAGAGAAACAAACCTCTGTCCGTGAGGAGCAGAGCCATGACACCCTCAAAGGCGATAACCATGAAGAAATGTTCCCTACAAAAACTCCAGTCGCCTCAGAGTTGGAAGGCAAGATCCTGTCCATGCAGGAACGCGATGCGGCTGCTGGCTACGGCAAGCGGGAGCTTGGAGTCACCTGGCAGAACTTGACCGTGGAGGTTCTTTCAGCAGAGGCAGCGGTCAATGAAAACTTCCTTTCCCAATTCAACCTTGTCCAGAAGGCCCGTGACTTCAAGAAGCAGCCTCCGATTCGACAGATCCTCCAGAATAATCACGGCTGTGTGAAGCCAGGAGAAATGCTGCTTGTGCTTGGTCGTCCGGGCTCCGGTTGCACCACCCTGCTGAACCTCCTCTCAAACCGGAGAGAAGGCTATCGAAATGTGACCGGCGAGGTGCACTTCGGTGCCATACCATCTGCAGATGCCACTCCATACAAAAGTCAGATTGTGATGAACAGTGAGGAGGAGATCTTCTTTCCCACTCTGACTGTTGGCCAGACTATGGACTTTGCTACCCGCCTGAAGGTTCCATTCCATCGCCCCGATAATGCTTCGCCCGCCGACTGGGCAGGTGAATTCAAACAGTTTCTCATGGAAACAATGAAGATCGCGCATACGGAGGACACTAAGGTTGGAAACGAATATGTGCGTGGCGTTTCAGGTGGTGAGCGGAAGCGTGTTTCAATCATCGAATGTATGGCAACGAGGGGATCTGTATTCTGTTGGGATAACAGTACCCGTGGCTTAGATGCGTCCACTGCGCTCGAGTGGGCTAAAGCTATACGTGCCATGACTGATATTATGGGTCTCACCACTATCGTTACGCTATACCAGGCGGGTAACGGTATCTACGAGCAATTTGATAAGGTCTTGGTGTTGGACGAAGGAAGACAGATTTTCTATGGTCCAGCATCCGCCGCAAAACAGTTCATGGAAAGTGTTGGCTTCGGATACACCAACGGGGCCAATGTGGCTGATTATTTGACTGGTGTCACCGTCCCTACCGAGCGGAAGATTCTTCCAGGATTCGAGGGTTCATTTCCCGAAACCCATGACAGTCTACTTGCCCTTTACCAGAAATCTCCAATCTGCCAGAACATGATGACCGAGTACGACTATCCAACAACACCTCTTGCTAAAGAAAGGACGGCTATGTTTAAAGAGTCTGTGGCATTTGAGAAGGATTCTTCGCTGCCAAAGAATAGTCCCTTGACCACTGGTTTCCTACACCAGCTAAAGGTCTGTATCATTCGACAGTATCAAGTCATCTGGGGTGATAAAGCCACATTCTTCATTCGGCAATTTGTGTCCCTCGCCATGGCTTTGATCGTGGGCTCTTGCTTCTATGATTCGCCAGACACGACGGCCGGCCTATTCACAAAGGGTGGTGCAATATTCTTTTCCCAGGTCTACCAGGTGACTCTGGCGATGGCTGAGGTCACCGGATCTTTCAGAGGGCGACCAATCCTTATCAAACACAAGAGCTTTGGCTACCATCATCCAGCGACATACGCGATAGCAATCCTAGCTGCAGAGCTTCCAGTGGTCATCTTCCAGTGTACCATTCTGAGTGTTGTGCTATATTGGATGGTCAATCTTAAAGCGACCGCGGGTGCATTCTTCACGTTTTGGATTATTCTCATCGTCATCACCTTTGTAAGTTGGAATCTACTCCGTTTCTTATTAGAGGGCCAGTTTTTGAAAGAAGATTATGGCGCCTACAATGAGTGAGATTCTGTGGGCTGACTGAATGCGTTAGTGCATTAATGCAATGTTTAGGTCAATTGGTGCTGCCTCGCCCAACCTCGAGGTCGCTTCAAACCTATCTGGTGTGATCATGAAATTCCTCGTCTTGTATGCTGGCTACATGATTCCCAAGACCCACATGAAGAACTGGTTTATCGAGCTGTACTATGCAAACCCAATGGCCTATTCCTTCCAGGCAGCTCTGACCAACGAGTTCCATGATACGACAATCGATTGTGTTGGGAGCAGCTTGATTCCTCGAGGAGATGGATATAGTGATTCTCGGTACCAATCCTGTGCGGGTGTCCAAGGTGCAGAACGAGGCGCTACCTATGTGACCGGTGACAACTATCTCGCTGCTTTCCATTGGAAGCACTCCCAACTCTGGCGCAACTTTGGAGTCATCTGTGGATGGTGGGCGTTCTTTGTCGCTATTACAATCATCTCAACCTGCAGGTGGCGGGGTGGCGGGGCAGGCAGTAGCTCGCTCCTAATTCCTCGAGAGAAGATGAAGCAATTCCAACAGCGCGAAGATGAAGAAACCCAGTCATCCACCGGGCCAGAGTCACAAAAAACTCGCAATATTGCAGTGGACGATCAGAATGGTGGCAGTCTCATGCGCAATACTTCAGTTTTCACATGGAAAGATCTCGTTTATACTGTGAAGACCCCTACAGGAGACCGTGTACTTCTGGATAAAGTCTACGGGTGGGTCAAGCCAGGCATGCTGGGTGCATTGATGGGGTCATCTGGTGCAGGAAAAACGACTCTACTCGATGTGTTGGCACAGCGAAAAACTGACGGCACAATTCGGGGAACTGTGTTGGTCGACGGCCGCGAACTCCCTGTATCCTTCCAGAGAATGGCAGGATACTGCGAACAGCTTGACGTCCACGAACCCTTTGCGACCGTGAGAGAAGCACTCGAATTTTCGGCACTTCTTCGCCAGCCTGAGCATGTCCCAAAGGAAGATAAACTGGCTTATGTTGAGACCATTATCGATCTATTGGAGCTCCACGATCTGGCAGATACACTAATTGGAACGGTTGGCGAGGGACTCAGTGTTGAGCAACGAAAGCGCGTGACAATCGGCGTTGAGCTAGTCTCAAAGCCTAGTATTCTTATCTTCCTCGACGAGCCAACCTCTGGTCTTGACGGCCAATCTGCCTTTAACACGGTCAGATTCTTGCGCCGCTTAGCCGATGCTGGCCAGGCAATTTTGGTGACTATCCACCAGCCGTCCGCTCAATTATTTGCTCAGTTTGACACCCTTCTTCTGCTTGCCCGTGGAGGTAAGATGGTCTACTTTGGCGACATTGGCGAGAATGCCTGTACCGTCAAGGAATACTTTGCGAATTATGGAGCACCATGCCCGATAAGCAGTAATCCCGCTGAACATATGATCGATGTGGTTACTGGTGCGATTCATGCTGTGAAAGATAGGGATTGGCACCAAGTTTGGCTGGATTCTCCTGAAAATGCTGCCGCTGTAGCAGAGCTTGACCATATTGTCTCAGACGCTCTCGCGAAGGAACCGGGGACACTGGACGACGGCAAGGAGTTTGCTACCTCCCTCTGGACTCAAACAAAAC